GCACAGCCAGGCTCATGCCTGTAATCCCAGCACTTTGGGAGGTGGAGGCAGGTGGATCACCTAAGGTCAGGCGTTCAAGACCAGCCTGACCAACATGGTGAACGCCTGTCTCTACTAAAATTACAAAAATTAGCCAGGCATGGTGGTGTGTGCCTGTAATCCCAGCTACTCGGGAGGCTGAGGCAGGAGAATTGGTTGAACCCCGGAGTTGGAGATTGCAGTGAGCCAAGATCACGCCACTGAACTCCAGCCTGGGTAACAGAGTGAGACTCCGTCTCAATCAGGTGTGTCTGATTCTTCTTGGTAGCCTTAGAGCCAAAATCTGCTCTCAGTGGAATTTTATCAGGTGCCATTGGCAGGAAAGTTCTCCCTTACAATGTTATTGTACCCAAAAACTGGTAGCTGCAACCCCTGTGCCTGTTGGTTGTGTAGATGGTTGGGTTCCCCGTTCATTGAAAATGTATAAAAGCTGGTTGTCCTTAGTTATCCCCTGAACTGTTGTCTGGAAGAAAGGTGATGCCTGCAGGCATTCTCATTGTGGAGTGGATTGGGTGTCCCAAGTTGGACATGCCCTTGGAAGGCCTCTGCCCTGCCTCAATAACATTTCCTCCTTGAGTACGCTTGTTTTCTATCCCAGGACATCCTCTTTGATGCAAATACACACAAAGTGAAGAAGTTCGTTCTACACACCAATTACCCTGGACATTATAATTTCAACATGTGAGTACACTTGTGCCTTCCCTGCTGTGAAGTGAGCTTTGGGCTGAAAACCCCAGGAAAGAGCTTGTGGCTTTGGGTGTTCACTAATTTATCAACACCTGAATGCTTGCTGTTTCATGGGAAGCAAATTTCCTGAGTGCTTGCTGTGTTCCGGCACAGTGTCCAATGCCTTACATCTTTCTGTTTGAACCCATTTTATAATTAGGAAAATCGGTTCAGAAAGCTTATCCAAGGTGATAGCTCTCCAGACCCCAGGGCCAGGATCTTTTCTGTTCGACTTCCGTGCATAAATCTGGCCTCCCCCAGTGAACACTGTCAGGGGCTCAGAGCCAAGGCTTTGGGCAGGTGTGTTTGGTTCTGTTTCTCCTGGGGTGTGGGGTTGGAATATGGGAGTGGTCAGGCCTCCTAGGAGGCGCAGCCTTTACCCATCTGTCTTCTCTCTAGTTATCATCGCTGTGAGTTCAAGATCCCATTAGCCATAAAGAAAGGTGAGTAGTGAAAGCTCTCAGGGTAAAGGAGGGGTTTTAGAGTTTGTTTTCCACTATGAGAAGGGAGAAAGATCCAAGCAATGGTTGAGTATGTGGAGCCTCTACCCATGGCCTCAGTTCCTCTGGGATGGGCTCATTGTTCTGGGACTGCAGTGTTCTTGGTGTGAGTCTCCTAGAGGCCCTTGAGGCCTTTTCCTGTGACTATGGATTGCTGGCCTCTGGAGGGGAGAGTTTCTTATTACAGATTATCATCCAGCGGTCCCCAGCCCATCCTTGGTGCCTGCCACCTACTGCCAGTTGGTATAGCTCACACCTGACTGGCCTGCCTTCACCTCTCCATCCTCTTCCACCCTGGAACTCCAGAACAGCCTGTTAATCCTCCCCATGTACTCCAGCCCCAGTGCAAAGCGTCACCAGGTCTGGATCCTACCTAGGGCTGGTGCTGCGGGTAGGCTGGGCCAGCTATCAACCTGCCCCACTGTCTTTTTCCTTTCAGAAAACGCAGATGGTCAGACAGAAACATGCACAACCTACAGTAAGGTGAGCGCCTATCTTCCCACCTGATACAGCCTGAGAATTGGGTGGACATAGCCTATGGGCTGTGTCCTCTGGGCCAGCCATTGGTCACAGACATGTTCATGTCCCTATTAACCCCTGCTCCCCTCTATCCCTCTTGCAGTGGGACAACATCCAGGAGCTCCTGGGCCACCCTGTGGAGAAGCCTGTTGTCCTGCACAGGTGAGTGGGAGTCTGATGTCTCTGGCCACCCCACCGGACTCCTTAGAGCCCAGAAAGCCCAGGGAAGCCTGACAGAGTGGATGTTTCTTTTTTTTTTTTTTTTTTTTTGAGACGGAGTTTCGCTCTTGTTACCCAGGCTGGAGTGCAATGGCGCGATCTCGGCTCACCGCAACCTCCGCCTCCTGGGTTCGGGCAATTCTCCCGCCTCAGCCTCCTGAGTATCTGGGATTACAGGCACGCGCCACCATGCCCAGCTAATTTTTTGTATTTTTAGTAGAGACGGGGTTTCACTATGTTGACCGGGATGGTCTCGATCTCTCGACCTCGTGATCCACCCGCCTCGGCCTCCCAAAGTGCTGGGATTACAGGCTTGAGCCACCGCGCCCGGCCGGATGTTTCTTAAAAATTACAGAAGTTGGGCCGGGCATGGTGGCTTATGCCTGTAATCCCAGCACTTTAGGAGGCCAGGGTGGGTGGATCACAGGGTCAAGAGTTCAAGACCAGCCTGGCGAACATGGTGAAACCCTGTCTCTACTAAAAATACAAAAATTAGCCGAGTGTGGTGGCGCCTGTAATCCCAGTTACTCAGGAGGCGGAGGCGGAGAACTGCTTGAACCCAGGAGGTGGAGGTTGCAGTGAGACGAGATCACGCCACTGCACTCCAGCCTGGGTGATAGAGTGAGACTGTGTTTCAAAAAAAAAAAATTACGTAAGTTTCTACTGTTGCCATAAGCATACTTCCTGCCCCACCTTGCACATTAGGACTGAGCCAACTGTTCTGTGTGTTCATTTTTGATAGGCTGTCCCAGGGGTAGTTCCCCTCTCCCCACCCTATCTTCAGATATGGGGGCCTTCTAATTCTTATTCAGAAGGAAGGAGGGATTGGCTGGCTTTCCTGGGCTCTCTTTTTCCCTCAAAGCTGCTGCTTGCTGAAGTCCACAGCCCCATTCCTGGTTGCCATGCTGCCTGAGATTCTCTCTCGAGAGGGCCCTTTTGGCTCCTCACACCCTACTCCAGTGCCACAGTAACTTTCTGTGCCCTGTTGGACTATGTAGGATTCTGAGTTGAGTGAGGCCATCCCTACCCTGAGGACCTTGCAGGCCTATGTGGAAAACAGACATACTCTCACAGCCATGAGAGGATACTGGCCAGTAGCCCACACCCCAAAGAACACTGGTTGCCTTGCTTCAAGGCCGTGGCCTCTGTCTGCCCCTCTAATTCTGAATCTCTGGCCTCAGGTCTTCCTCCCCAAACAACACCAACCCATTTGGCTCCACATTCTGCTTTGGTCTTCAGCGAATGATCTTTGAGGTAAGCCACGGAGGCCCTAGAAATAAACTGCTTGGGGGGTTGCTGGTCATGGCAGGGCCAGGTAAATAGTGGAGGGAAACTGGGGAGGGCCTAACTTCCCTGTTGGGCAGATTCATCCTTCTCCCGCAATCCTGTCTGCTGCATACCTGGCTTCCTCACACTTACCAGTGAGGGTTCAGAAATGATGTTGAGAAATCTGGGTCACAGAGGCCAAAGCAGTGGTCTGTATCCAACAAGACGAGAAGTAATGGATCCCAAGTTTCTATCTGAAAACATGAGTATAGAAGGGAAGGGGGAACCACAGGGCAAGTGGGGCCCAGCTCAGGGTGTTGAGGGCCCTCCAGTGGCATGTGAATGCATTGTAGGGTAGTGAGTGGCTCTGGAGGCCCCAGTGACTTGGCAGAAGGAGGAGCTGCCCTTGTTTCCCTGTGGATGCCAGTATCTCCAGCAGACACTTAACAGTTCCAGAAGGACTAGACAAATGGCCGTGGTAAAGGCTATGTATCAACCATTGATGAACAAGCAGATCTCAGGCAGAGGGGCCCTTAGCATGGACCAGGGGAGATTGCGGAGTCGGGAAGCCCAGCCCTCACGTGCAGTTGTGTCACACAACTTCCAGCCTTCTTGCACAGGATTGGTCTACATCCCTCTGCCTCTACCCCTTGACCCACTGTCTTCTTCTCACACCAGGTCATGCAGAACAACCACATTGCCTCGGTGACCCTGTATGGCCCCCCTAGGCCTGGTACCCACCTGAGAACATCGGAACTCCCCTAGGGACATCACCACCCATGCCCCTCTGTCCCATGTAACTGTGCATCACATCCTGCCCAGTGGGCCTCTGTACCACCCTGTGGGTTTTCTTGGACACCTGGCCAGTGTTGAAGGGCTGCTGTGATACTCTGAAGTTGGGCTCAGGCTGGGTACCCTGCCATGGGCTGAGCGGCCCAGATATTCTGTCCGTCCTTGGCCTGCTGATGCCAGCAGGGTACACAGACTGCAAAGAGAAGCACAAACTTTGAACCTTGATTCCTGGACCCAGGAGCTCTCAACTAACATGCAAGGAGGCAGGACACATCAACCCTTGTCACATGCACATTGGGAAGACTTGGGGCTTTTTCTGTGACTGAGGGCACAGGCACTGAGGATAAGAACAAGCTCCTGCCTTTGGCCCCACATTGCCATGTGACCCTTATGGCAAGCAGGTAGCGTGTCTGTAATACTTGGTTGCGACATTTGCACTACATCCACTTTAGTTACTTGACAAGCTGGCTGTGGCCAGGGTGGCCCACCTGCCCTTCCCTGTTCCTTTTTTGCACGCGCTCCCTGCCTGGGCACACCAAACTGGTTGAAACGCAGCTTTCTACCATCCAGGAACATGTCCAGGCCTGGTTCTCACCCCTCTTGGAGTCAGCTTTCAAGATTGCCCGTGTCCCTGCTCTGCCCCAACCTGGCTGGCAGGGCTGCGTGTTTCCATCCTGTTTGCCTCTTTTATTTAATGCCAAAGTTTTAGCCAAAGACATCTTCCTACTTTTGTTGTTTCAGCATTTTGTTCTGCACTGTGGGCTGGCTCCCTGCCTCAACCCTGGGCACTAGCCCCTGGCTGGGCCATGGCTCAAAGCCTTTGGGGGCTCAAGGAAGGTTTGGCTGCTCAGTCCCTTCATGGGTCTTGCTAATGGAAAGTAGCATATATGTGCTTTAAAAAGATTAATCCTTTTAAAAAGAATTGAGAAGAGAAATGTATAATTTTATCCCATTTTTAATATTTTGGTCTAGCAACTTGTGATACATAGATGACAATTTTGTGAGTTTTTCAAATGTGTGTACAGATTTTTGTAAATAGGACTCTTTTGTAATTAACTCATGTACAGCCTCATCCTGTATAGTTTAATCATGAATGTGCAGGGGACCTGCCTCAGGCCCCTATATGGTTCCTGGGCCTACAGCCAGGCTTGTGTGGCGCTCCCATGACTTTGTGACTGACTGGTGTCTTCCCATCTGGACTGTGGCCTGGGCAGAGCCCCTTGCATATCCCACTGTCAGGGGCAGCCAGGACTCTTCCCATCCTCCTGGAATGGGGGAACCTTCCTCATCTCCTGGCCCACATCCCCTCTCCAATAAAGCACCTATGCCCTCAGCAATGGCCTGCCATGTGCTGTTGCTGGGATGTTTGTACTAAGCTAAGTGTGGGTATTGGTTTTTTGAGCAAGGGAGTGGTTGAAGAATATGGGGAAATGAATAGTTGTGGAGTCTCAGGGGAAGACATTCCTTGGCTCCTCTGAGGGAATACAGCCTCCAGTGGGAGACTGGCATTGTTGTGTGGGTTCAGGAGCTGGGGAAAGACTAGGTAGGACTGTGCACTCATTTGTCCCTTATGTGGCTCATCCCTGGTGCTCAGCCACACCTGGGCTCAGGAGAGATTGTGGGAAGCACTATGTCTATTTTCAGATAGAGCTGTGGCAGAGTGCCTGCCAGGTTCATGACGGCTGTGGCAGCCGGGGCCCCTTCATCTCCCTGTGGGGCCTCCTGCGTGTGTCCGTGTCAGCCTTAGGGGTTCCAAACCCAGGAGTGTGGTAGGGATTCCATGAGTCCCTGCCATCCTACCTGAACATACGTGTGTGTTACTAGGAGGACCAGACATGTCCGCTTCTCTGAGGCCTGTTAGACAAGAGATGGTTCTCTACCACCCAGTCTTGGCTAGCTCAAAGTGTCACCATTACACAGGTTTCAACCCAGTGGGGATCCTGTGGAAACAGGCCCCTGGTGATCTGCCTGGGAAACTCCTTCAAGCTTCCTCGCTCTCCATCCTGGATCCGAGTAAGGAGCTTGGGGCTATAGTGGGGAGCTAGGAGTCCCACTGGAAAGGGCCTGCAGCGACAGGCTGTGGATGCGCACAGGCTGGCCCATGTGGCCTGTGCAGCAGGCGCCACATAAGCCAGATGTCAGCAGCCGAGAGCCCGTGCACTACCACCAGCTCGCGGTAAAAGCAGGGATCGAAGGTGCTCAGATGAGGTGCGGCTGAAGGCTGGGAGATGCCAAAGGTGCGGAAAGCAGGATGAGGCTCTGGCGTGAGTCGCAGGCGTTGCAGACACATGCCCAGAAAGACGTCGTCGATGGGGAAGAGCTCGACCTGCGCGCAGGCGCCAGCTAGCCGGTGCAGCGTGGCTCCGGAAAGCACAAAGCCACCACCGCCCGCGTAGGCAGGATAGGCGGGCAGGCCGTACACTGCCTCGGGGATGTAGTACTTGCTGGCCCGTGTGCGGATGGGCCGCGCCTGCACAATCACGTCACCAGCAAGCAGGTCTTGCGCTGGATCCCGTGGCGCCAGGAACTCTAGGAGGTTCCCTACATTCACGAACACATCGGCGTCGCCCTTAAAAACGAAACGCACGTTGGGGCAGAAAGCTGAGGCCCAGGCTAGAAAGTGGATCTCCTTGAGCGTTAGGTTAAAAAAGGTGTCGTCGAAGGCCCAGAGCAGGATGTCCGCATATGCAAGACTCTCGGCCTGCAGCAGGGCACTCCAATGGGTTCGCGCGCCCCCGACCTCTCCTGAGTCGGTCCGGTCTGAGCCTACGCTCCTGGGCACACCCAGCAAGAACACGCGGCGCACCAGCGCCCCATGCACCCGGCCCTCCGCGCCCCACGTCTGGCGCACGGCTTGGCGCCGCTCGAAGTCCGCTGCCACCGACTTGACAGCAATGAGAAGGTCGGGGCGGCCACCGGGTGCGCCGTCGCCACGGCACTTGTGCGGCTGGTTAATGAGCAGCGGAAAATGTCGCTGGTCCTTGGCGCGCAAATAGCGGGCAAAGTCAAAGGGTCCCGTGGGCGTGGGCGGAGCCGGCGTGTCCCCTTCGTAGGCCGGCAGGGCTGCACCCGAATCGGGTAACTGGAAAGTGCGGAGTCTAGGGGTGGGCTTCGGTGCCGCCCTCCCTGGCGCCTGAGGCGCGCTAGTCGTCGGGGCCACGCCGTCGCGCTGCGCATAGAGTAGGAGACCCAGGGAGGCGCCGAGGAGCAGTGTGAGTGAAGCGTCCCTGCGTAGGCGCAGCCTCCTCATCTCTGCGCTGCCAGTGCCCTCCTTCCCCTGGAAGGGTCGCAGTCGGCAGCCGCGGGCAGCGAGCCCCGCCCTCCCCAGACGAGGGGCGGGAGGCCACGCCCGGGGGCGGGGGGCTCCAACAACCGGCGGTGGAGCCCCTGGTCTTTCTCCTCCTCCCGGCCGGGACGGGCAGCCTGAAGGGACAAGAAGTTCCCCCATGTAGCCAACTTCCACCAGCCTCAGCTCCGGCCCAGGACTGCGCCGCAGGGCCGGGCAGGGAGTCAGGGAGCCTCAGCCCCTAACCTCCCGCCTCCCCCACGCTGAGGCCGAATCCCTTCCACCCCTGCCATCCCCTCAACGTCGGGCCCTGGGGTCCTGACACTCACGCTTGGCCCTCGGAAGTGGCGCAGCCCCGGACGCCCTGGCCTCCGGGACTCAGTGCAGGGTCCCAGGGACCGCCAGGGACTGGCCCGAGCCAGATGCAGCGTTGGCAGGAAGGGGGACCAGGGCCGTGCCACGTGACCCTCCAGCTGTGCGCGCCCGGACCTCTGGAGCTCAGCTCCGCCCCCGCGCCAGGAGCACTCCCAACCTCCGAGTGGGGACTAATCTCTGCGAGGGAGCCTCCTCACAGTCAGTTCCTCTGGGAAAGCCTGTTCTTGGTGCTCACACCCCAAATTCGCCTTTCCGGGGGTTGGAAAGAAGCATCAACTCCTCTGATTAGTTCCCCACAACGCTCCACTCCCCATCCTGCCTCTCCGGAGTGGGGCGGAGCCTAGGCTGCAAGGAGACCCTGAGAGAGCGGGCCGGTTCCAAATGCGCATGAACCTGGCCACCATCCCGGGCCTGTCCTGCAGGCCTCTCCTCAGCAGCTCTGATTCCATCAGGCAGGGTGCATACGCTGCCCTTGAGACACATGGCTACCTTCTCACTTCTGGCTCTGCCATGCTTCCGACCTCCAGTAAACACACGCACGGGACAAACAAGGCAGCCCACCCAATCCTCAGGACAACCCTGCCAGCAGCTCTTCATTCATGCCCAGATGGGAACACTGGGGGCTCCTGCGGAGTTAAGTTACTTGCCCAGGATCCAAGGGCCAGAAAGCTTTGCCCCCAGGTCTTCTGAAATTCAGTCGAGGATACTTTTTTTTTTTTTTTTTTGAGGTGGGAGTTTCGCTCTGCTGCCCAGGATGGAGTGCAGTGACGCTATTTCGGCTCACTGCAACCTCCCGGATTCAAGCGATTCTCCTGCCTCAGCGTCCTGAGTAGCTGGGATTACAGGCACCCACCACCACACCTGGCTAATTTTTGTATATTTACTAGAGACAAGGTTTCACCATGTTGACCATGCTGGTCTTGAACTCCTGACCTCATCATCCGACCTCCTTGGCCTCCCAAAGTGCTGGGATTACAGGCGTGAGCCACCGTGGCCAGCCAGTCCAGGATTCTTTTATCTGTCCTTCCTTGCCCCTCTCATCCATCCACTGGGATACAGAACAGGGGGCCAACTTAGTCTGCTTTAATTTCACAGGCAAGCACTTCAGCCTATCTCCCCAGGGGCTAATGAACCTGAGCCCAGACCCAGGTGCAGTTCTGAATTCTCTGGTCCCCAGAAAAGCCTCCTGCAGTAGAAATGATCAGGTCTGTGCTGCTGCAGGTCATACTGGACTGGCAGGGATGGGGACAGCTTGGGAAGGCTCCTCAAGGAGGCCTTGGTTAAGGGGTTGCTCTGGGATCCAGGTGGGCAGAGGTAGTCTGGGATGGAGGGCTAAGTCCTTGCCCAGCTCAGCTGCCAGCTCTCTCTTCCTTGGTCCCATCGCATGTGGTGGGGCCTGGAATAGACACCCTCCACCACTCTCTAAGAACCCAGCCCCATCCTCTGCCCAAGGGCTAGATCTGCTCCTGATGGCTTCTTCCCACCAATGTTCAACCTTAAAAAGCCAACTCTGAGGCCGGGCACGGTGGCTCAAGCCTGTAATCTCAGCACTTTGGGAGGCCAAGGCGGGTGGATCACCAGGTCAAGAGATCGGGACCATTCTGGTCAACATGGTGAAACCCCGTCTCTACTAAAAAAAACACACAAAATTAGCTGGGCATGGTGGCACATGCCTGTAATCCCAGCTACTCAGGAGGCTGAGGCAGGAGAATTGCCGAACCCAGGAGGCGGAGGTTGCAGTGAGCTGAGATCGAGTCATTGCACTCCAGCCTGGGTAACAAGAGTGAAACTCTGTCTCAAAAAAAAAAAAAAAAAAAAAAAAAAAGCCAACTCTGGCTGGGTGTGGTGGCTTACACCTGTAATCTCAACACTTTGGGAGGCTGGGGTGGGTGGATTGCTAGAGGTCAGGAAGTCAAGTCCAGCCTGGCCAACATGGTGAAACCCCATCTCTACTAAAAATACAAAAATTAGCTGGGCATGGTGGTGGGTGCCTGTAATCCCAGCTACTCAGGGGGCTGAGGCAATAGAATCACTTGAATCAGGGAGGCGGAAGTTGTAGAGAGCCCAGAACACACCACTGCACTCCCTCCTAGGTGACAGAGGGAGACTCTCAAAAAAAAAAAAAAAAAAAAAAAAAGGCCAGTCATGGTGGTTTATGCCTGTAATCCCAACACTCTGGGAGGCCAAGGTGGGTGGATCATTTGAGGCCAGAAGTCTAAGACCAGCCTGGCCAACATGGTGAAAAAATTAGCTGGGTGTGGTGGCACATGCCTGGAATTCCAGCTATTTGGGGGGCTGAGGCAGGAAAATCACTTGAACCTGGGAGATGAAAGCTGCAATGAGCCGAGATCCAGCCATTGCATTCCAACCTGGCAAGCAACAACAACGACAATAACAATCCACCTCTCCACCCTGAACCTCACTCTTTCTGGTCACAAAGTAATCAGGAGTCCTCTGCTCCAGCTTTCTCTGCGGCTTCACCTATCATTCCCTCCTGTGATACAGCTTCCGGCTGCCCCCACTAGGGGTCCTTACTAGGCAGAAAGACCCCTGCCTAGTAAGCTCCTTATAACTGAGTCCAACAGATGCTCCTCAGTCTTGACTGATTGGCAGCCTCCATTATAGCAGGTGGGTAATCCCTCAGGACATCACCTGGGGCCACCCCATCCACTCCCACCTGTCTATTCATCAGTCTTTAGATTGGACCTTGGTCCTAAGCTCAGAACTACAGACCCAGCTGTCCTCACATTCTCTCCATGGATGCCCTGCAAGAACATCATGTCCAACTTGTCCCAAATAGAGCAAGCCTTAACTTCCCCTGGGGTTCCCATCCCAGCAGGCAGTCCAACCCACCATTCAACTGTCAAAGGCAGAAACTTAGGGCCCTTTCTCAGCCCATTCCTCACTCAGTGTTACCAAGCCTGTTACTCTTCCACCCACACAGCTCTTGGTGGTCATCCCCTTCCCTCCACCTCTTACTGCCACTGCCCAGACTGGGGCCACCATTTTCCCCAACCCCATCCTCATCAACCCCCTAGTCTTGGCCAGGCGTAGGGCTCATGCCTATAATCCCAGCACTTTGGAAGACTGAGGTGGGTGGATGATCTGAAGTCAGGAGTTGGAGACCAGCCTGACCAACATGGTGAAACCTCGTCTCTACTAAAAATGCAAAATTTGCTGGGCATGGTGGCAGGTGCCTGTAATCCCAGCTACTTGGGAGGCTGAGGCAGGAGAATTGCTTGAACCCGGGAGGCAGAGGTTGCAGGGAGCTGACATCGCGCCATTACACTCCAGTCTGGGTGACAAGAGCAAAGCTCTGTCTCAAAAAAAACAATAAATTTTTTAAAAAAAGCTTCCAGCCTCCCAGACTTCTTAACTCCCAAAACCCTTCAAAGGTTTCTCACTGGCCTTGCTGAAAAATCTACACCCTGTAAAATGGTTTATCAGACCCCCACATGATCAGCCTCAGCTCCAGGTCTCAGCAAGTCCACCAGCCCACAGATTCACCACTTTTTTTTTTTTTTTTAATTTTATTTTGAGACAGAATCTCGCTCTGTCACTCAGGCTGGAGTGCAATAGTGCAATCTTGGCTCACTGCAACCTCCACCTCCTGGTTTCAAGTGATTCTCCTGCCTCAGCCGCTCGAGTAGCTGGGATTACAGGTACATATCACCATGTCCAGCTAATTTTTGTATTTATTTAATTTTTATTTTTATTTACTTACTTTTTTTTTTTTTTTGAGACGGAGTTTCGCTCTTGTTACCCAGGCTGGAGTGCAATGGCGCGATCTCGGCTCACCGCAACCTCCGCCTCCTGGGCTCAGGCAATTCTCCTGCCTCAGCCTCCTGAGTAGCTGGGATTACAGGCACACGCCACCATGCCCAGCTAATTTTTTGTATTTTTAGTAGAGACGGGGTTTCACTATGTTGACCAGGATGATCTCGATCTCTTGACCTCATGATCCACCCGCCTTGGCCTCCCAAAGTGCTGGGATTACAGGCTTGAGCCACTGCGCCCGGCTTACTTACTTATTTTGAGACAGTGTTTCATTCTTGTCTCCCAGGCTGGAGTGCAATGGTGTGATCTCGGCTCACGACAACCTCGACCTCCCGAGTTCAAGTGATTCTCCTGCCTCAGCTTCCCCAGTAGCTGGGACTACAGGCAAGTGCCACCACGCCCAGCTAATTTTTTGTATTTTTAGTAGAGACGGGGTTCACCATGTTAGCCAGGAGGTCTCGATCTCCTTACCTGGTGATCTGCCCACCTTGGCCTCCCAAAATACTGGGATTACAGGCATGAGCCACCACACCCAGCCAGATCCACCCACTTTTAACGGTCCTTCTAAGGTCCCTCTCTCTCACCTTTCTCAAGCCCTTGCCTGAGACTGCGGGTTCCCGGAACACTGCCCTTCTCTAGATACCCCACCCCCATGCCTACTCAACACTGATCTCCTCCGGAAAGCTTACTCCCTGTTCCCCGCTCAGGTTAGGCCCCTTCCTCCATCCTCCACAACTTCTCTCTTTTTCTTTGAGACAGGGTCTCACTCTGTAGCCCAGGCTGGAGTGCAGTGGCTTGATCACTTCTCACTGCAGCCTCAACTTTCCATGCTTCATAGATCGTCCCACTTCTGCCTCCTAAGTGGCTGGGACTACCCAAGTTGGTCTCAAACTCCTGAGCTCAAGCAGTCCTCCTGCCTCTGCCTCCCAAATTGTTGGGATTACAGGTGTAAGCCATTACTACTTGTATTTCTCACAGCAAAGACCATGTTACACTTTATCATTGCTTTACATTTGGGGTCCCATGCTGAGTGTGAGCGGGGGGCAGGCAAGACTGATCCATGTTTTACTTCACTGCAGTATCTGCAACACCCAGGATGAAGTCCAGGACACTGAAGGTCAAGGTGCTTCATGAGTGAAACCGTAAGGGCTGGCTGTAAGTCCCACTTCTGGGGTAGGGGAAGGTGAGGCTGATCTCCGGAGCGGATTCCCCCACACTCTTATCAAAGTACCTGAGGCAGAATCCCCAATGGTGCACCCCCAGCGGGCTCGGTGGGTGCTGGTCTGGCTCCTGGGGAAGGCAGTCAACACTGCCTCAGCAGGTCCAGCAGATAGGCCAAGTGGATGGACAAGGGTTCAGCAGCAGCAGCAGAAGGAACCCTGGGGCCATCCAGGTTCTCCAAAAGCTGGCTGCACCCCTGGTCTAGGCCAGGCTGCCACTGGGATCAGTCAGGCCCAGCAAGTCCTCTGCCAGGCTGGTGAGCTCGTTCTCCTCAAGTGCCTCCACCAGGCGCTGCAGCGTGGCGCGGCGACCCTCGGCCTGCACGAAGCGGCGCAGCAGCTGGAAGGCCTGCTCATACAACCCCTCGCGCTCGTACTCGTAGGCCAGCGAGTCTAGCGCCGGGTCCCGCAGCGCTCTGCAGCCCCGCTGCAGTGAGCGCCCCACCTTGCGCCATTTGAGGCCCACGGAGCGCGCGAACGTCTGTTGGTCCTGCAGGCTCAGCGGCCGGTTCACTGCAGAGGAAGCGAGGAAGCGGGGTGAGGGGGGCCCCCAGCGCAGATCCCACCCATCCCCACCCGGCGACGACCCTGCTGCTCCCCAGACTCCAACCTCCTGGTGACCCTGCCTCTCCGCCTGCACCTCACCTACAGGCTGACCCTGGAACAGAAAAGTCTGGGCAGGCATTGGCGGCGGCCGCGGCTTCACCTCTGACAGAGAGGGCACGGGGAGCTGCGAGGGGGCCAAAGAGACCTCCCCGTCGCCACGCTGGGCCCCCGAGCCGCACTTCAGGTTCCTCAGCGCATCCTCCAGCTCAGCCAGTTCTTCGTCCCGGAGCCGGTCGGGCTAGGGGAAGGGAACTTGCCGTCACCAGGAGCTTGGCCACGGATCCCCGCCCTACCCCATCCTGACCCTAGCCCGGCCGCACCTGCTGGGCTAGGATGCAATTCAAACAGCGCTCCTCGTCCGCCAGCAAAGCGTCCAGCCGCTCGGCGCCAGCGCGCAGCTCCAGTTGCAGCGATAGCGAGTGTTGGAAGAGCGCGGCCGCCAGGCTCCTCTGCAGCGCGGCGCGTAGCGCCCCCTCGCGGTAGGCGCGGAGGAAGCAGCTGCAGGGCTGGCGCCCGCAGAATCGCAACTGCACAACGAGCTGCGGGTCGCTGCGGTGGATCTTCAGCATCTGCAGCACGTCCGGGCTCCCGCCGCTCTCTGCGGAGGCGGGCGGTCAGGCGCCGGGCGGTCAGGCGCCAGACGGTCCCCAAGCTCGGCCGTTCTCCAAGCGGCCGGAGGAGGGGCGAGGCCTGCTGTGGTCAAGCGCCGTCCCATCCCCCTGACCCAGGGTGCAGTTACCCCCGAGTGCCCAGATGGGAAACAAAAATTGGGCAGCAACAACCCAGAAAGAAGACCAGGACCTATCACAGGGAGCACCCCAAGCCAAAGTGGGTGCCACCTAGCCCCAGCTCCCATGTCCCAAATGAGAGCTGGCAAAAGAGTGACTTTGTAGCACAGAAAAGGAAGCATGTTCCCTGGGTGACCAAGCCTGGGTAGGCGGCCAGCAGGGCAGAGGAGGGCGGGAGGTCTCAGGTCTTCAGCCTCCACCAAGCTCGGCTCCCACTGCTCGGGAAGAAGAGAGGGGCTCTCGCCGCTCTGAGGCCACGAACAGATCCCCCAACCCGCTTCAGCCTCCTGTAGCCTCTGCCCTGACATGGGAAAGCGGGGCCTGGAAGGGTAGGTACTGGGGAGGGGTCTTGAGCAAGGAGTGCTGCAGTAAGAGAGGAAAAGAGGAGAGAGGCATCCACAATTAGGAGAAAGCAGTGAGCTGGCTGGTGGAGGGGGCGGGGATCGAGCAAAGGACGTTAGTGCACAAATCGGTAAATCATACACTGACTCAAGGACGCACATATACCCTCAAGGTCATGCCACAAACAGAGAGGACAGAGTCTACACAGCCAGGGGTCCTCCATCTTCTACCTCCCACCCCAAATCTTTTCCCTAAAGGTGGCTAAGCCCAGGCCCACCAAAGAGGACTTGCAGCCTCAGCCCCTCCCACAAAATGCCCCAGGCCACTCTTTCCTCTCCACATGCCAGCACACCCACGAACCTGTCAAGGCAGTCTGCAAAGCCCTGTACACTGCCATCTTCTGCTGGGGGTGCACGTAGGCATCCGACAGGACCACCTTGTCCAGCGAGGACTCCACAAACAGGTATGCGCTGCCCACACACTCTCCGTGCCCATTTTGCCCAGCTGCCATCTCACCTCCTGGAGATGGAGACAGGTAGGTATTCAGTTCATCTCCCTCCCTCTGCCCTGGAGACAACTGTCCAGCCCCAGGTGGTTCCGCTGTTCCCACCACAGTAGCCTCAAGTCCCATGAGGTTCAGGTGTCCCCAATACTAGCTGGCATACTTGGGACAGAAGTTCACCATCTCACAGGCAGCCCCTTGAGCTCCTGGCTCTGTACAGAGTCCCACCCACCCCAGACTTGCAGAAAGGATTGTCCCCCTACTACCTTCTCAGGGAAAGAGCCCAGCGTCACAGTGGAGGGGGAGCAGAGGCAGATCTTCTCTGCCTCCTCCTCAGGCCTTTGTCTCTCTTATCAAAGTGGACAGGAGACACCTTCATTCTGGATAGTGCCCATGCCCCAGAGCCAACCAGGCCCATATCCTGGCCTTGCCTTCTGAATAGACTTGAGCCCAGTATCTCTGGAGGACCTCAGCCTAAGGTTAAACCTCCTGTCTTGCCGGGCGCGGTGGCTCACGCCTATAATCCCAGCACTTTGGGAGGCCAAGGCAGGTGGATCACGAGGTCAAGAGATCGAGACCATCCTGGTCAACATGGTGAAACCCCGTCTCTACCAAAAATACAAAAAAATTAGCTGGGCGTGGTGGTGCATGCCTGTAATCCCAGCTACTCAGGAGGCTGAGGCAGGAGAATTGCCTGAACCCAGGAGGCAGAGGTTGCGGTGAGCCGAGATCGTGCCATTGCACTCCAGCCTGGGTAACAAGAGCGAAACTCCGTCTCAAACAAACAAACAAACAAACAAACAAACAAAAAAAAAACCTCCTGTCTTTACTTCAAAGGACACCTATAGTTTGCATCTACCCAGATTCCCTCCCACAAGCCTGTGTTACCTTTAGGGACATCCCTTCTCCTTCTCAATTCATGTGCCTGTGTCCCACTCCCTAGCTCCAGGTCGGGCTTGTGCACCAGACCTGGCCAATCTGCATATTTCATTCACATTTATGCAGTGATTAGTTCAGGATGGAGTATAGGACTAAAGTTTGACCAATGAGAATCAACCCTGCAACTCTGGATGAGCCAATAGGAAAGAGGCACTAATTTCCCTTCCCTTGGGGCTGAACTGGAAGGAAAGGGCAGCTCTTCTTTGCCACTGCTTGGGAAGAGCCTGGCCCAGAGTGAAGCTGACACAGAAAGAAACAATCAAGAGATGGAGAAGTGCACTCCTAACCATACTAGGCTCCTGGATCCAGCTGTCCCTGAAGCCTTTGCATTTGGACTTCTTAGTTATGTGAGCTAAATAATTGCTTTTTGTTATAAAGTGCTTGGAGTTTGGCTCCAGTCATTTCAACACAAATTGTTCTATTCCCTCCCTGTCCAGAAAAAAGCCAGAGCCCCTTGGTGCTAGTATCTCCTTCATCCATCTTCTGACAAAAACCTAGCCCTGGACTAGCAGGGGCAAAATTCCCAGCCAGGGAACCACTGCACTGAGCCACAGCTCAGAGACCTCCCAGTTACTACCCCATAAGACAGCAAGTAAGGAACTGCCCTCCCTCTTTCTTCCCACCTCATCCTTTTCCTGCCCACCCTTTTCCTAGTATCATGGGCTCAAGGCCCTACCTCCTGTCTCATCAGTCACCCTCCTGTGCACTCCAGTCGTCAAGGTTCATATATGGTGGGCTAGGAGGACTGCTGAGTGTTAGCCATGGGCAGGACACATGGGGTGGCCCCAGCAGCCATCTATTTACATGAGGAACAGGAAGTGACCCTTCCACCCTGGCCTCCTAAAGTGCTGGGATTACAGCAGTGAACCACTACTCTCAACCTTTGTTTTTAAAATTTTCTTGTTTTTGAAACAGGGTCTTGCCCTGTCACCCAGGCTGGAGTGCAGTGGCACTATCACAGCTCACTGCAGCCTTGACCTTCCTGACTCAAGCAATCCTCTCACCTCAGCCTTTCGAGTAGCTGGGGCTTCAGGCACATGCCACCATGCCTGGCTAGCTTTTATCTTCCTTCCTTTCTCCCTCCCTCCCTCCCTCCCTCCCTCCATCTCTTTCTTTCTTTCCACTGGGTTTCACCATGTTGGTCAGGCTGGTCTCGAACTCCTGACTTCGGGATCTGCCTGCCTCAGCCTTCCAAAGTACTGGGATTACAGGCGTGAGCCACTGTGCCTGGCCTAGTTTTTATCTTTTTAGTAGAGATGGAGTTTCACCATGTTGCCTATGCTGGTCTCAAACTCCTGGGCTCAAGGGATCTGCTCACCTCAGCCTCCCAAAGTGCTGGGATTACAGGTGTGAGACACCACACCTGGCCTCCTAATCTTTTCATAGAAAACATTAATACTTGGCCAGGCCAGTGGCTCACGCCTGTAATCCCAGCACTTTGGGAGGCCTGGCTAACATAGTGAAATTCCGTCTCTAGTAAAAATACAAAAAAATTAGCCAGGCGTGGTAGTCGGCACCTGTAATTCCAGCTTCTTGGGAGGCTGAGGCAGGAGAATCCCTTCAACCTGGGAAGTGAAGGTTGAAGTGAGTCAAGATCATGCCATTGGGCCAGGTGTGGTGGCTCAAGCCTGTAATCCCAGCACTTTTGGAGACCATCCTGGCTAACAAGGTGAAAACCCTTCTCTACTAAAAATACAAAAAATTAGGTGTGGTGGCACATGCCTGTAGTCCCAGCTAGTCAGGAGGCTGAGGCAGGAGAATCACTTGAACCCAGGAGGCAGAGGTTGCAGTGAGCTGAGATCATACCACTGCACTCCAGCCTTGGTGACAGAGCAAGACTGTTTCAAAAAAGAAAAGAAAAGAAAACGTTAAGACTTGTGTACTTACTCCAAACCACAGCCTAGATATTAACAGGAACTTTGCATTTTGTTTATCACTGGGCAGGATAGAGAGAGGTAGGTGGGGGTGGGGAAGGATTATAGGTGATTTATTTATTTTCTTTGTATTTAGCAATATTTCCTGCTTTATGTGAGGGAGATAAATTTTATTTGTATTAAAAGAGCAAAATAAATTTGTTTTCCTTGAAAGCAAAACAAGAAAAAACAGGGGAAGACCTGAAAATGACAAGTGGGTCCAGGAGCGCGTGGCAGGGAGCCAGCCACGGAGGTAAGACCAGGGGAGAGTCCTAGGAAAGTGGGATGAGAAGTAGGAGAGAGTGGGAACCTCCTCTGGAAACGCTCCCTCTTTCAGGTCTTCCTAGCCCCTTGAGGTGGGAGTGTTGACCAGATGGATGTGGTCCCACCCCAAAGGGTGGAAGTGGGGATTCAACGGGACCAGTGTCTGCCCATCATGCCTGCGGAGGGTTGTGGGGGGAAGCGGGGAGTTCTGGGAACCTGGAGATGGGGAATGCTCCGTCACTCACTAGTACCAGACAGATGGCAGAGGTGACCCAGGCTGGAGGTCGAGTTAACAGAATAAAGAGACCAGGGCCCTAGTTTTGCAATCCGCTGATTTGCAGCTCCTCCTACGTGTTCTTTCACAGAAGCTCCTCTTGGGAAGCCCTGCGCCTCACCCACCTGTAGTCGTCCCTTTTTGGGCGGGGCTGAGGCTTCCAGGCTGGGTCCTGAGAAATCTTGGTGGGCAGAAACTGTGGGGCACTTGGGTATCAACCTAACAACGTTTGCCCCTATTTCCAGGGGCGAGCCAAGCACGGTGCCCCTTGAACACCTAACAGTCCCGGGAGAAGCTCCACCTCTGGCTGGGTGGACCGGGACCGCCTGTGGGAGTGGCCCAGAACTGAAAGCCTGCGACTCCTGGCGACCCGCCAGGCGCACCCCCCACTCAGCTACACTGCTCCTGAGCGCTCGAGGGAAGCTTCCCTGGCTCCCACTAGCCCACCCTCAAATTGGCATTTTGCACTTGCGATTAGTTGGGGTGGGCTGAGAGGTCTCCGCTTAAGGAGGTGTTCAGAACCAGCCCCTCCCCCAACCTCTCTCCTGCAGGGCCCTACTGCCCCTTGAAAGCCCTGTCAGGGAAAAAGAGCCTGCGGGGACCAAATTCCGTACCGCCCCCCGGCCTCCCACGAGAACAGCCCAATAGGCCGCCGCCACCAGCTGGCCAGAGCAGCCGCCGGTGACATCTGCGCCGCGCCCACGCTTCGGAGCCAGGATCCACCTCCGCTCCCGCCCGCATTGGGGAGCCCACCCACCCACCGACCCTCTACACTAACCTGGCCGCCTCGGCGGGGCCTGGGTTCCCACGCCCGCCAGGCTCCGCTCCAGTCGCGCCGCTTCCGGGTGTGCGCGGAGGCTCTGGGGCGGCGCTCCAGCCCTAGCCACCCTGTCCGCCCGCGTGTCCCGCCCCGGTGGCTGCTTCCCGCCTGCTGTCCTCTGAGGTCAGTCCCTCGCCCCGGGCAAAACCCATCTAGTCCGCTAAGCAGGTAAGACACTGGCGCCCAAGTTTAGACGGCAGGAAGACCTGGACTTTGGGGGTTTGCGATTCTTACGAGGCCGGGGCTCAGACGAGAGAGAGCTGCCAGACTGTGGTAGACAGGGGGCGCCCTCTGTAGACCAGAATTTTCTGGTGCCCCTGGGGATCCGGCTGCATGATAGCTGCTACGACTAGGCACTGAAAACGGGGTGCTCATGGGTCCCAGGTACAAGCCTGGTAGAGCGTATCTGAAGCCCCAGGAAACACGTGGCACAAATTCCGGGAGAAACTTAGCCCGGAAGATATGGGGACATTAACTGGCGACTGGTGTGAAGCCTTGTGTATGCAAACCTTCAGGAACCTTAAAACAAGATTGGGGGCTGGGCGCGGTGGCTCATGCCTGTAATCCCAGCACTTTGGGAGGCCACGCCGGGCGGATCACGAGGTCAGGAGTTCGAGACCACCCTGGCCAATATGGTGAAACCATATTGTCTACTGAAAATACGAAAATTAGCCGGGCGTGGTGGCGCCCACCTGTAATCCCAGCTTCTCGGGAGGCTGAGGCAGAAGAATCGCTTGAACCCGGGAGGCGCAGGTTGCAGTGAGCCGATATCGCGCCACTGCATTCCAGCCTGGGCGACAGAGCTAGACTCCGTCTCAAACAAAACACCAAGATTGACAACTTCACAGAGGACGCACACGTTCCAATAACCCCATCCCCTGTAAAGGCTGTGCTCCGGGGTGGGTCTGCTGAGTTCCAGCCGAACCCAAATTGCCCGCCGGAGCAAGGGCTGCTCAGGGGCCGAAACTTGAACTTCGAGCCCCTCAGGTACTAGAGCTGTCAGATCCCAGAGCCCCAAGCTTTTTTTCACCTGGTGGGGCTGTCTTAGGAAGCACCTGGGACACGTCCCTGTGAGGCGGAGGCGGGGAAGGAGTCTCCCCTCTCCGGGAGTATCCAACTGTGCCCCGCCCACACCCCGCTTCCTGATTGGCTCACGGTCCCGGACAAAGAAAAGTCTACATTAATGCTCCCGCCTTACTAACCCTGCAGTCACTTGCTGCTAACCCGCGGTGTTAAAATGGGGTGTCTCAGGCCCGGCATGGTGGTTCATGCCTGTAATCCCAGCACTTTGGGAGACCGAGGCGAGCCGATTGCTTGAGCCCAGGAATTCATGACCAGTCTGGGCAACAAAGCGAGACCTCGTCTCTACAACAAAATTACAAAAATTAGCCAGGCTGCTGGCTTGCCCCTGTAGTCCCAGCTACTCGGGAGGCTGAGGTGGGAGGATAGCTTGAGCCCGGGAGACTGAGGGTGCAGTGAGTTGTCAGTACGCCACTGCACTCCAGCATAGGTAAAGAGCGAGACCCAGTCTCAAAAAAAAAAAAAAAAAAAAAAAAAAAAGGCGGGGCGGGGGGGCGGTTTCTCAACGTGTAACCTGTGGAGTCACCCGGGGCTTGTTGAAATGCAGTTTCCTGGGACTTACCCTTTCAGGAAAACCTGATTTAGTAGATGAGGTTGTGAAATCTGCTTTGTGAACAAGTGTTAGGGTTATCTGATGCCCCATGCTATCTGAGAGGGCCTCTGTTCCTCAGGCCACATGCATTTGTACAGCAATGCTCGATCTTCCCGCAACGCTTTGCGCCTTCCTGAGCCCAGAGACGTCCCTCTTTCTCCAGGCCAGAGCTGTTGGGGGTGGCGGATCCTCCCACCCCAGCCGGATCTGGGCCATGGCCGAGCCTGGAGAGCGATTGCCAGAGGAGGTGCTGGCGCTCATCTTCCACCACCTGTCCCTGAAGGACCGTGCTGCAGCTGCCAGGGTCTGCAGGGCCTGGGCTGCCGCTGCTACCTCCAGCGCCGTGTGGCACGACACAAAAATCAGGTGAGCCTGCTCCTCCACACCCCTCTCCCTGCCTCCCTTTCACCTTCTCTGTGGAGTCGTAGGCTAGGCAGAGATTCAGGTCGACTCCCCCATTATTAAAAAATAATCGCTGACATTTATTAACTGCCCAACACATACCAACCATTGTTTTTAAGTGCCTTACATATATTAAGTAATTTAATCCTTACGAAAACCTTGTGTGGTAGATCGGTATTATCATTAGCTCCATTGCCCAGATAGGAAACTGAGGCAGAGACTTAATTACTTGTCACGGATCACTCAGCTAGGGAATGGCAGAGGCGGAATTCCAACCTAGCAGTCCAGAGGCCACTCCGAGACACCTTAGAGACAGCTGAGAAAGTCTAGTTCCTAAAATATCATTGGTTCTCCATACCTGGCTTTCAACCTGTGGCAGATGCCGCTAAACTCTTCTAAAAGGATAGGATGGGAGTTCCCTCCTTTGGGGCAACAGGTGTTGTCAGGACAGAGAGGTGGGGAGGGAGGCAGGAAGTGGGATGGCAGCTGGAACCCCAGCTAAGGGGTAGGTAGAGGCTTCTCCCCCGGTCTCGGGGACTCAGCCGAGGCCTTTTCTGCACGACTCTAACCCAAGTTGCGAATGCGAGCTGGAAGGCATGCTGCCGCCTTATCTGTCCGCCTGCCTTGACCACGTTCACAACCTACGGCTGGAATTTGAGCCATCGAGGGATTCCAGTCGCCGGGCGGCCATCGAACTGCTGATGGCTCTGGCGGGCCGTGCCCTGGGGCTGCGAGGCCTCTGCCTGGAGTGCCGCGGAGAAAAGCCGCTCTTCGACTCGGGCCACGACGTCCTGGAGGCTGTGCACGCAGTATGCGGGGCGGCCCGCGAGCTGCGCCACCTCGACCTGCGGCGCTTGCCCTTCACACTGGACGACGCGCTGGTGCTGCGGGCGGCGAGCAGCTGTCCCGAGCTCCACAGCCTTTTTCTGGATAATAGTACCCTAGTGGACAGTGTGAGTCCCGGATCAGTGCTAGAACTACTGGGGGCCTGCCCGCGCCTGCGCGCTCTCGGCCTGCACCTAGCCAGTTTGTCGCACGCCACCCTCGAAGTGCTGGCGGCGCCAGACCGCTCGCCTTTCGCGCTCCTGACTCTGCGCTGCGCGTGCCCCGAAGATGCACGCGCGCCCCCCCTGCCCAACGAAGCCTGGGCTGCGTTGCGCCGCCGCCACCCTGGGCTGGCCGTGGAGCTGGAGCTGGAGCCCGCGCTGCCAGCCGAGAGCGTGACGCGCGTCCTGCAGCCAGCGGTCCCCGTGGCTGCGCTACGCCTCAACCTCTCAGGCGACACCGTAGGCCCAGTGCGCTTTGCGGCGCACCACTACGCCGCAACCCTGCGCGTGCTCGAGGTGCGCGCAGCCGCTTCAGCCGGGCTAAATGCAGCGCTGGAGGAGCTGGCGGCGCGCTGCGCGGGCCTGCGCGAGATGCATTGCTTCTGCGTGGTCAGCCCCTCCGTGTTGGACGCCTTCCGCGCGCACTGCCCGCGCCTGCGCACCTATACCCTCAAGCTCACGCGCGAGCCGCATCCCTGGCGGCCCATGCCAGTGCCGTGATTGGGCGACTTCTCCCCGGGTTCCCGCGAACTTAAGCGCTCTGAGATGTGACAGGGGTGTCCAGGCGCGTCCTGACTGCTAGCGCCTTCCTTCGGGATTGTTGTCCCCTGGTCTCTACGGAGTGGGAGCTGTGGGATGGTATCGGGACCGTTCCTGGGAACCCTGAGTCCACTCACTGCTCTCACGCTCGGCAGACGCCCCCCCCCCCCCCTAGTCTCCACCCCTCTGCGGGCTCTGCAGCTCCGCTTACCCGGGCGCGGGCCGGGCCTCAGGGGTGAGTGTGAAATAAACAAATCCTGCAGCGTCTCTGCGTCCTATGAAAGGCTGGTCGGATCTGAAAGGGGAGGGCGGGGAACGCGCGGAGGCCGGAGGAGCCATGCCGGCAGAGGTGGGGTTTCCTCAAGGTCCTCCGGTCTGACACGGGTGTGGGGGTTAGGGGCGGGGCACTCGCACCCTAGGAATGACTACGTCCTGGGGTTCGGCGGGAGGGGCCGTGCTTCCCCGCCTCACCCTATCCTATCTGCTTGCCCTGCCTGAAGCTTCACTGCGTCTCTGGCCATCGCCTTCTAGGACTTGCCCAGCCCACACCAGGTCGCGCACCAGCGATTTCTCCCGTAAAACAAGGAAATAGAGGGACTGAGAAGGGTGGGACTCGAACCCATCTCCCACCTCACCCCGCCCCACCCTACCTCTCCACTCCACTTCACACATCCCATCCAGCCAGCCCTTTCTGTGTGCTGGAGCCTCGGCCGCTGTCCGAGCCCCGCCCAGCGGGCTCGCACGTGGCCCCCGCCTGACCCGGCGCCCCTGGGCGGAGTAGGGCGGAGCGGGCGGCAAACGCAGCACTTTCCGTGGCTTTGACGAGCCCGCAGCGGCCGGGCCCGAGCGCTGAGCCGGGCCGAGACTGCACCATGCAGGAAGCGCCAGCAGTGCTGCCCACGGAGCCAGGCCCCAGCCCCGTGCCTGCCTTTCTTGGCAAGCTATGGGCGCTGGTGGGCGACCCAGGCACAGACCACCTGATCCGCTGGAGCCCGGTGAGGGCCGGGGCCCCTCGATTCCCCTAGTGGTCCCGGGGTCCCTCCACGTCAGTGAACACCCATGTTCGCCCAACTCCCGCCTGAGACTGGGCCGTGGATCCCCGGATTCAGCCATTTAGGGTAGTTCACCTTGGAGTGTGCAAGATGGGGGTTTCCTCTGGCCGAAGAAGGGTTAGGAGCCTACATCCTGGAGATCTAGAGCCCGAGGGACTTCGAGGCCATTTAGTTCCCATCCACCCCCCAACCCCCATCCGACAGATAGGAAAACTGAGGCCAGGAGATGGGAAGGGCTGGTCTAGCTCAGGGTCACATTGCGGGGCTGGGGCCTGCCCAGGACCGGAACCCCGTCAGCCTCTCCTTTCTGAGAACGGAGTATGGAGTTAGGGTCTGGCTGGGGGTAGGGACTCACTGTGGTCGCTCCAGGCTAGGCCTTGGAGCCCGTTCTGGCCTGGCCTCGACCCATATCCCCGTAAGCGGCAGGCCTGGACCCCAGAGTGAGCGTGAGCGAGTGCGCGCGCCGGAGCGCAGGACTGGCCGTGGGCGGGCACCGCTCACTCTCCTGGTCTCCGCCCGCACGGTGGGCGGGCGGCGTTTTTGGTAGAGCGGGACCAGTTTCCTCGTAAGCGACCAGAGCCGCTTCGCCAAGGAAGTGCTGCCCCAGTATTTCAAGCACAGCAACATGGCGAGCTTCGTGCGCCAACTCAACATGTGTGAGTCCCTAGGGCTGGGCGGGGAGCGGGGACGGGGAACTCGGTGCAGGGGATGGGGCGACCCACGCCCCCACGCCCCGCTCCCCAGACGGTTTTCGGAAGGTGGTGAGCATCGAGCAGGGCGGCCTGCTCAGGCCGGAGCGCGACCACGTCGAGTTCCAGCACCCGAGCTTCGTGCGGGGCCGAGAGCAGCTACTGGAGCGCGTGCGGCGCAAGGTGGGGGCACCCTTCGGGAATGAGCAGAGCCAAGGAGGGGTGCTGGGGCTGCCGGCCTTGCTCCTGCGACCCAGTCCCTACGGTGCCTCCCGCCCTCAGGTGCCCGCGCTGCGCGGAGACGACGGCCGCTGGCGGCCAGAGGACCTGGGCCGACTACTGGGCGAGGTGCAGGCTTTGCGGGGAGTGCAGGAGAGCACCGAGGCGCGGCTGCGTGAGCTCAGGCAGTGCGCAGGTGGCAGGGAAAGAGGGGACAGGGTTGGGGGTTCGGGATGAGACCAAAACTGGCCGCCCGGTGGTTCTGGGCAGCCCCTTCCTCTGTCCGGCCCTGGCTTATGGGCAATCTCTAGATCATCGGAGTGGTCTCCTGGCTCCCCGGCCTTGCCATTCTCTGGGGGGTGGTGACTGGGCGAACTCTCAGAAGCCTCTGCACCCTCCCACTCCTTCCCCAGGCAGAATGAGATCTTGTGGCGGGAGGTGGTGACACTTCGGCAGAGCCACGGTCAGCAGCACCGGGTCATCGGCAAGGTGTTCTTCTCCCCATGCCTCGCTTCTCCCTCCCACTCCTCGACACCCTATTCCTCCCACTCCTCAGGAACCCTATTCCGCCGTCCCGTCTCCCAGAGCCCCTGTTAGACCTCCCTCCTTCACCTGGAAGTGCCTGGGGTGGGGGGCGGGGTCCAAAATATGAATTAACCCTTTGCTTTATCTTCAGTTGATCCAGTGTCTCTTTGGGCCACTTCAGGCGGGGCCGAGCAATGCCGGAGCCAAGAGAAAGCTGTGAGTGAGAAAGCCAGGAAGGCCCACACCCACTTCCAAGACCCCACAGAAGTCCCCTTGCAAGGATCCCTTCTCCTCCAGAAACTCCTTCACCAGCAATCCTCATCCCTCCCCCTGCACTACAGGCTTCCTCACCCCATCTAGGATCTGCTTTCCCCAACTCCACCACCTGGTACCCCCATTCCCAGATCCTCCCACTCCTGAACCTTATTCCCAAATTCCAACCCCAGCAGCCCCCTACCCCCTCCCCTCAAAAAGCTTCCCAACAGCTGAGGGCCTGGGGCTCAAACCAGGTTCTCTCCCTCCCCTCTCTACCCCCAAAGGGCCCCCATCTCTGGGGGGAGCCCCTTCCACCTCCAGCATGTGACTGATGCCCTGGCAACAGGCCTCAGCTCTGCTGACTTGGCTGCTGGGGCCTGAGGGAGGGAGGGAAGTGCAGGCCAAGGGGCATGGGGGCTGACCCTGCCCCACCCCTCCCTGTGCCCTGCTCAACCACACAGGTCCCTGATGCTGGATGAGGGGAGCTCTTGCCCAACACCTGCCAAGTTCAACACCTGCCCCCTATCTGGTGCCCTTCTGCAGGACCCCTACTTCATCCAGTCGGTAGGTTTGTCTTCTGCCCCCTTCCTGAGGGCATGGCTGGGCTTATGGAGAGCCTGTTCCTTCTCCCCATCCCCTAAAAGGAGGAGAAGATGGAAGCCAGCCTTTCCCCCAACCAGACCCAGGCCCTCCAGCATGGACTGAACCTCCTCCCTCAAACTTCCCTTAGACCTGGCCCAGGTGGGTGTGGGTGGGGTTCTGGCTCTCCCTGTGCCTACAGGCCAAGGGCTGGGCCTAGCCTTCTGCTTACAGCCCCTCCCAGAGACGACTTTGGGCCTCAGCCCTCACAGGGCCAGGGGCCCCATCATCTCTGACATCCCAGAAGACTCTCCATCCCCTGAAGGGACCAGGCTTTCTCCCTCCAGTGATGGTAGGAGGTAAGTGGGACAGGGCTGCCCCGGGAGGCCTGTGGGGGAGGGGCTGGCAGCCCAGATGGCTGTGGGGGTAGGGGGAGAAGTCAGTGCCAGGGTCTGGTTGAAGCTTTTCTCCGGTGCAGGGAGAAGGGCCTGGCACTGCTCAAAGAAGAGCCGGCCAGTCCAGGGGGGGATGGCGAGGCCGGGCTGGCCCTGGCCCCAAACGAGTGTGACTTCTGCGTGACAGCCCCCCCACCGCTGCCTGTGGCTGTGGTGCAGGCCATCCTGGAAGGGAAAGGGAGCTTCAGCCCCGAGGGGCCCAGGAATGCCCAACAGCCTGAACCAGGGGATCCCAGGGAGATACCTGACAGGTGAGCAGAGCCCTGGCTGGACCATGAGCCCTGTGATAGAACAGCCTTACCAACTCCCATAGCTTCCCAGCCATTTGATTCCATGATACTCACCTGACTTCTTGGCTCCAGCATCCAAGTCCCTCAGAAAGCAGAACCTCCAGTCAGGGCACTCAGCATCTGTGCAAGAGCTCAGGAACCTACATATTAAATGAGTTCCCTGGGGTGATTGTAAAGTACACAATAGTTTAAGAAGCATTGGTGGTCATGAGGTGGCTCATGCCTATAATCTCAACACTTTGGGAAGCTGAGATGGGTGGATCACTGAGGTCAGGAGTTTAAGACCAGCCTGGCCAACATGGTGAACTGCTCCCCCCAACTCTGCTAAAAATACAAAAATTAGCTGGGTGTGGTGGTGTGCACCTGTCATCCCAGCTACTCAGGAGGCTGAGGCAGGAGAATCGCTTGAACTTGGGAGGTGGAGGCTGCAGTGAGCCAAGACTGTGTCACTGCACTCCAGCCTGGGCAACAGAGAGACTCTCAAAAAAAAAAAAGAAAGAAAGAAAGAAAGAAGAAACATTGATGTTAATATTTGCATAGGGAGGGCAGGGATCCCAAAGCCCTAGCTCCACCACCCAAACTTCAGGTCCCAGGTAGGAAGCAGAGGCACTCTCTCTGTGTCCCTTTATGGCAGGGGTGGGGAGGCTAGGGGTGGAGGGAGAATGGGGTCGTCTCCTATCATTTTCTAAATGTTGGGGGATTTAAATCTCCGTGTGTCTGGGTTCCTTGGGAACTTAATGGGGAGAGGGTCGGACACTGCAGGCCAAAAGCATTTCTCTGTGCACAGCAGGCCTCTGGGCCTGGAGAGGGGGGACAGGAGCCCAGAGAGTCTGCTGCCTCCGATGCTGCTTCGGCCCCCCCAAGAAAGTGTGGAGCCTGCAGGGCCTCTAGATGTGAGTACCCCTTCTGCTGAAGCAGAGGCAAGAGGCCTGGTGGGTTCTCACTCTCTGTGCAGCCTGAGGAGGGCACCACTGACCCAGAGCTCTCCTCAGGTGTTGGGTCCCAGTCTCCAAGGGCGAGAATGGACGCTGATGGACTTGGACATGGAGCTGTCCTTGGTAAGAAGTGGGTCAGGGAGGGCAGAGACCAGGGTGGCTGAGCCAAGCCCTCTGCTCCATGGCTGTTCTCTGTGAGCTGGAGCCGTGCCTCCAGGACTGCTGCAGCTGCCCACTTAGCTGCTAGATCCCCTCCCCAGCTGCTCCCTGCGGTTCTCACATGCAGATGCAGCCCTTGGTTCCAGAGCAGGGTGAGCCTGAGCTGTCGGTCAAGGGATTAAATTCTCCAAGCCCAGGTAATGGTTGGGATGACTCCCACCTGGGAGAAGGCCTTGATTGGGCTGAGCTACCTTGACTGAGCAAGGGGGCAATCTGAAATTTGCAGGGAAATTCCAAGTTCAGACTGGCCTGCAGAGAGTTCCTTGAGCCACCCATGCCCTCACCACTGGGTGAGAGTGGGGAGGTTAAGAATGGATGTTTCATCCTAACTGAGCAGAAGGCAGGTGGGCAGGGCTCTCCTTCCCTGAAGAAAGGAGGGGGAACCTTTCCCCTGGTTAACACTGCCGCACTTCTCCTAGGGAAGGACCCCACGTTGGGGGCACCACTCCTGCTGGATGTCCAGGCAGCCTTGGGAGGCCCAGCCCTGGGCTTGCCTGGGGCTTTAACCATTTACAGCACCCCTGAGAGCCGGACCGCCTCCTACTTGGGCGCGGAAGCCAGTCCCTCCCCTTAAGACCCTGGCCTCTGAAGGGGCTGGAGTCAGTGCTCGGATGCACACCCTTTTTGGCTTCCTGGCGCCCCCTGGCGGGGGTGACCGAAGCCCCCACTACCCATCGTCCTCTCCCCACTACCCGGATTAGCCCTGCACATAAACTCCATTTTTTTTCTGTTTCTGGTCTCTTTTCTCTATGGGTCAGGGAGCACAGGAGTTGTGGATGGGGGTGATTTTGCATTTGTAGAAGCGTTCAGATACTAAGTCTTTAATAGAGGAACCCCGGGAGGTGGTTGGGATCCGGCGCCTAGCTCCCCTGCCTAGGCCGGGATCCAGGGCTGGCGCTGGGCCGCTGCAATCTCTGGGAAACGGGGGCTTCTGGGTCACATTCAGCTCTGCAACGCATGCGTTCTGTGATCCTGGGTGAGTCAGTACCCCTCTCTGAGCTTCCTCTGTGACAGGCAGGGAAGAGGGTCGATGACAGGATAGATGCAAAGCACCTGGAAATTGGCAGGCCCTGAGTGGGCACTGGACGTGTGGGGCCGCGGGCCGAACTGACCCCTCCCGGCCTCATCTCCCGGTGCTCCCCGGTTGGGGAGGGAAAGCTGACAACGTGCACGTCCCCAGCCAGCGCGCGGCCTCCGCGGCGTGGTTCCCAGTGCCCGGGGAAGAACCCTCACCCTCCCTACTCCCAGCAGCCCTGGCCGCCCCGCCCCCGCCGCAGCTGCTGCAGCCACCCCCACTCTGCCCGGCCCTTTCTGCACCGTCATCTCCTGCCCCGCGGAGGTTCGACCCGTGAGTGGGGCCGCCCAAAACGGTCCAGACCGGGAGCCCCACTCCTGGCTGGGGGAGGGAAGGGAAACCGAGATTGGGCAGAATCAGCGCCCCGCCACCAGCAGCGGCACTGGAGTGGGGAGTCTGTGGGCCCCGCCCTGCCGCTGGATTCTCAGGCTCTGGAACTGGGTGGAGGGAGGTAAGGGGATCCGTGCGGTCGCACATGCGCAAAGGCTCCGCAGTGTCCCCAGACCCTGGCTCCCCTGCCATAGAACCCGAGCATCGAGGTGGGGTTGGAGTCTGGGACCCAGCTCCACGCGCTGCCACCTGGCTCTCTGGGAAGCATCTGACCTGTCACCCTCAAAGGACTGACCCCTAAATAACTTCGGTATTGAGAACCGTTAAATCCTCAAAGGGAGAGCCCAGACCAGCTGGAATCTCTACCCACCAGACAGGAAAAAGGGCAGGACTTGGGGTCATAGGAGGAGAAAGCTAACATGAAAACAGCTTAGGCTGGAGTAGAGAGGAGGGGCCAATCCAATCTGCACCCTCCCTGTGTCTGTCCCGAGTAGGTACTCTCCCCCTCTTCCTTCCTGTGCCCACCGATTGGAGGGACACTCTTTGGAAGCCTCAGTTGAAGAAAGCAGAGGATCTGCGTGTACACAATGCAGTGATATTGGTTATGTGGTGGTGAGGGCATATGTTTGTTTACTGGGTACACAGAAGAACTACCTGCCCTTGGGACACTTAGGCATTGGTGTAGACAAGGGAACATTTGAGTCTTGGAGGATGGATAGATCCATGAAGCGGAGGGAGGGGAAAAGGATTTGTCTTAGCGATCAGCATCAGCAAAGGCTCCAAGGTGCCAGGGCCATAGTGAGTTCTCCCAGCTCTAACTGGTGGAGGAAAGCTGGGAAGGGCCTGGCTGTCCAGGATGATGGGAGGAGGTTGGAGTAGCCAGACCAGATAGTTAAGGTCTGATAGGCAGTGGGGTGGGGTGGAGGAAGGTAGATAGGTATTTAGGATGGAATTCTGCTAGACCGGAGAATATAGTTCAGTTCCTCATAGTTCAGGCTGGAGCAAGTAAGATTCCAGTTTACCACTGAATCTCTAAGCCTGTCTCCTCATCTGTAAAATGGGAACAGTAATCCTAGCCCAGAAAGTTGTCAAATTTACTGTGCTGTGGGGTCTAGTGGAATGGGAGTGAGAGGGGCTCAGAGGGACTGTTACAGGAGATGAGGTGACCTTGGTGGGGTGGTGAGGCAGCAGCTGGTGGATACTCACTGAGAAGTGGAGAAGCAAGACCTGTCACAGACAGGACATAAAGAGAGATGTCGGCTCATGTCTGTAATCCCAGCACTTCGGGAGGCTGAGGCAGGTAGATCACCTGAGGTCAGGAGTTTGAGACTAGCCTGACCAACATGGAGAAACCCTGTCTCTACTATAAATGCAAACTTAAGCAGGCATGGTGGTTCATGACTGTAATCCCAGCTACTCAGGAGGCTGAGGCAGAAGAATCACTTGAACCCAGGAGTCGGAGGTTGAGGTGAGCCAAGATTTTGCCATTGCCCTCCAGCCTGGGCAACAAGATGAAATCTCTGTTTCAAAAGAAAGAGAGAGAGAGAGAGAGAGAGAAAGAGAGAGAGAAAGAGAGATGGAGGGGTAGGGGGTAGTCCTGGTCTCGGCTTGGTAGCCCAGGGGGAAGGGCTTCAATGGGCAGGAGCCAAGGTGTGAAGTGACGGGGGAGATATAGTGTGACACCAGAGGGTACTGAGAGAGACATGGAGGCAGGATGGGGGCTAGGACCAAATCCTTTCTCCCAGAGAAGGCCCAGGCTCCTAGAGTCAGAGGAGGGACAGCAAAGGGAAGAGAAGATGGAAGGATGCTGTGTGAACAAAGCCAAGGCAGGGAGGAGGGGAGGTTATTATGGGGGTGGGGGTGAGCTGAGGCCATGTTCCAAAGCTGGCTGTCTTTGCCTCCTAATGCCAGGGGTCTTGCTTGCTGCATCAGGCCACTCACAGGAATGGGCCATAATCCTTGGTTGGGAATAAATGGACAAAGCAGCCAGGTGCAATGGCTCACACCTGTAATCCCAGCACTTTGGGAGGCTGAGGCAGGCAGATCACAAGGTCGGGAGTTCAAGACCAGCCTGGTCAACATAGTGAAACCCCGTCTCTACTAAAAATACAAAAAGTAGCCAGGCATGGTGGTGCCAGTAGTCCCAGCTACTGGGGAGGCTGAGGCAGAAGAATTGCTTGAACCCAGAAGGCAGAGGTTGCAGTGAGCCGAGACCATGCCACTATACTCCCCAGCCTGGGCCACAGAGCAAGACTGTCTCAAAAAAAAAAAAAAAAAAAAAAAAAAAAAAAAAAAAAAAGGGGACCAAGCAGATTAATTCTCCCTAATAGCTGCTGTTTGGTAGAGATAGTCTCTCATGAGCCAGGCGTGGTAGTTCATGCCTGTAATCTCAGCACTTTGAGAGGCCAAGGCAGTGGATCACTTGAAGTCAGGAGTTCAAGACCAGTTTGGCCAACGTGATGAAACCTTGTCTCTACTAAAAATACAAAAATTAGCCCGGCGTGGTGGTGCGCACCTGTAATCCCAGCTACTCTGGAGGTTGAGGCACGAGAATCACTTGAGCCCGGGAGACTGAGGTTGCAGTGAGCCCAGATGGTACCACTGCGCAACAGCGAGACTCCATCTCAAACAAACAGATAAACAAAAACCATACAGTCGCTCAAAATAGGGAGATCCATGGAGGAAAATCTGAGTTCGGTGAGCATTTGTTGGTAGCTTGTATGAGCTAGGCCCTAGGTACTTTAAGATCAAACAAAATGTTTGTAGGTAATTCCCAGGTCATCAGGGAGACAGGTGGGTCTTAGGTGATATCAAGAGATCTCGGTCAGAGCTAGGCCTGAAAAAGATTCTGGTATCTCTGCTCAGGAATCAGGGGACCAGGAAGGGTCATGAGATCACACTGGGGTTGCAGTATGGCGGTGGTGTTGGTGAGAGGATGCAGGGGCACCCTGCTTGAAAGGGCTTGTCTTGGAAAGTTGCATCTCAGGGTCAAGGTAAGGGAAGAGGGGCAGGGAGGCTGTCAGCACTTTGTGCTCTGGGTGCAGAGGGGACTGGAGGGGAGGATATGGAAGCAGGGAGCTCTGATCCCAGATTCTGCGGGGCCAAAACAGGAGGCAGAAGGCTGGACTTAGTAAGTGCTGAGGATGGTGAGAGAAATATTTGGCAGACAGACTGGAAAGGACTTGTCTGCAAGCTGGGTGTGGAGTATCAGCTTCAATCCTAGGTTTTTCTGCCTGGATAGGTGAGGAAGTAGATTTGAGAGAAAGACGAATAGTTTGGACAAGCAGGGTCTGAACCCGGCTCAGATCTGCCGGGGCTGGAGCTCAGAAGGTCCTGGTTGGGGAGGGCAATCAGAGAGTAGATGCGACTCCTGGGAGAGGCAGTGGAGAGGAGAGCCACAGCTGACGTTTAGGGACAGAAGGAGGAGCCTGAGGAGGAGACAGGACAGAAGCGTCTGGAGAGGCAGGACGCTGAGTTCCCTGTGTTGGCCTCCAGGTCCTCTGCTTGCGGAGCTGACTGGAGGCTGGGATCGAGGTGAACTTAGACCCCAGCTGGGGTGCTCACTGGGGGCATTGAGAAAGAGAGGTCAGAGGCGGTGCTGAGCGCAGGGAGGGCAACCCCCTATTACTTCTCTCCCCTTTCCCCAAGCAGCTCCAACGATGGGCAATGCGCAGGAGCGGCCATCGGAGACTATTGACCGCGAGCGGAAACGCCTGGTCGAGACGCTGCAGGCGGACTCGGGGCTGCTGCTGGACGCGCTGCTGGCGCGGGGCGTGCTCACCCGGCCTGAGTATGAGGCGTTGGATTCACTGCCTGATGCCGAGCGCAGGGTGCGCCGCCTACTGTTGCTGGTGCAGGGCAAGGGCGAGGCTGCTTGCCAGGAGCTGCTGCGCTGTGCCCATCGTACCACTGGCGCGCCGGACCCCGCCTGGGACTGGCAACACGTGGGCCCGGGTGAGCGCGCATGGCCTGGCCTAGGGCAAGGAGGGGGCGGAGCAAAGGTCCGGGGTGGGCGGGGTTGTCGTCTCCCCCTGAAGCAGTCGACTGTGAAACCGCACCGGGGTCAATTGAGCCTCAGTCACTTCCACTTCCGTCCCAGGCTACCGAGACCGCAACTATGACCCTCCGTGCCCAGGCCACTGGACGCCTGAGGCACCCGGCTCGGGGACCACATGCCCCGGGCTGCCCAGAGCTTCAGACCCTGACGAGGCCGGGGGCCCTGAGGGCTCCGAGGCGGTGCAATCCGGGACCCCAGAGGAACCAGAGCCAGAGGGGGAAGCCGAGGACTCTGAAGAGGCTGAACCGGAGCCGGAGCCGGAGCCGGAACCCGAGTCTGAAGCAGAACCAGAGCCGGAACTGGAGCCAGAACCGGACCCAGAGACCGAGCCCGACCCAGAGCCCGAGCCCGACTTCGGGGAAGGGGACGAGTCTGAAGGTGTGAGGCCACCCAAACCCTGAGCTGGTTTGGCGGGAGGGTATCGCCTGGGGAGCGGATGGCGGGCCCCACCTCCTTGACAACTGTCCCGGTCATCTTTAGATTCCTGAAGCCCAGAGCGCTGACCGGCTGTGCCCCGCCCATGCTGGATAGGACCTGAGATGCTGTCGGAGCTGGATCAAATGCCACCAAGGCTCGGTCTAGCCCAGTACCGCTAGAAGTGAAGAAACTCCCGAGGGTCAGCCAGGACCTAGGCTCTCTCCACGATTCTGGCTGTCTGCCCAGGAACTGGGCATGAGTGCCCCTGAGTCCCAGTGACCTGGGCAGCCCCAAGCCCACCACAGTCACCACCCAGTCCTCAGTCCCAATCTGCCCTTAGGAGCCCAGACTGCACCCTGGAGACCTCAGACCCAGTGCCCTAGTGGGACAAGGACCTGACCCTCATGCCCAAATACACGACCCGTTTTCCCTAATGAGCCACTTGGCAGCCTGTGTAGGTACCAGCTCAACCCCAAGCAAGTCCCTGGGCTTAACATGTAGCAAGGGGAGAGGGACTTCTCTCCATGTAGGGAGAAGGGCTTAGAGCTCACAGCCTTGAGAAGTGAGACTAGAAGAGGGAGCAGGAAAAGGGGAGTAGACAGAAGCCACAGACATCATTGTCATTACTGTTTTAATTGTTTGGCTTCCCTCTGGACTGGGAGCTCAGTGAGGATTCTGACTAGTAACTTACACAAAAGGCGCTGTACACATATTATATTTGCTGACTACATGAATAAGGACTTTCCAACTGCGTTTCTGAGTTTTAAAGATGGGAAACTAAGGCCAGAGGATAGGAGTGGAGCTCACACAGCTAAGTCTGAAGGGAAACTGGAAGCAGCAACCACCTGTGCACCTCACCTGGTCTAGGAGGGGTTCAGGTCTTGGGCCACCAAACTCTAGGGGCCTGTCCCTTAGGCGCAATTGCAGCTGCTCCTAGGCTGTGCTAACCTCTGTCCGAGACCAGCTGTGAGAGTGTGGGCAAAGACAGGAACAGGAGAGGCCAGTGGAGGGGGTGGGGACAGGGCCAAGGGAACTTTTGGGCTTGACTCACAAGGCCTAAATCACTGTGTGTGTGTGTGTGTGTGTGTGTGTGTGTGTGTGTGTGTGTAATGTGAGTGGGGCTGGGAAAATCGGTGCCTTCCAGGAAGGAGTATCCTGTTCTCCCCATGGAATCTTCAGAAGCTGCTGCTCCCAGCCACAGAAAATAGAGCGCATAAATATGGAATGAATACCCCAGACCAGCTGGGTCTCTACTGACCCCAGGCTCAGGCCATCAATCACCCCAGGAGAAGGGATCCCAACCCCCACCAGGACCCAGTGAGAGGTAGACAGCACAAATGCTGAAGGAGCACCAAGGGGTCAGGTGGGGGAAGGGAGACACTGGAGTACCCCGACACCCAAAGCCATCTCATGCAAGAACAAGTTTCTATTCCCAAACCACCCCATCCCCGTCAACGCTCAGCTCCCTTCCTGCCCCCATGCCTTCCCTCTGTTCAACAGAGCTGGAAGGAGGAGGGCAACTCAATTTGCCAGACATGCTGCTGCAGGTCCCCAGGCCCCAAGAAGGCTAGCAATGGACACAAACCCTATGATGTTGCTGCTCCTCCTCATGGAATGCTCCCGCCCTCTCAACACCCCCAAGAAACACCCAGGCCGTGGATGCACAGAGCAAACAGCTTCATGTTCTGGGGGCCTATCTGGAGCTTCTGTCCAGGGCCTCTGCCTGCAGCCCTCAACTGACATTAGTCTGGCAGCAGACGACCCAGCTCTGCCTCATCCAGCCGGTTGGTGGCCATGATGTGCTCCAGCTGCTGCCGGTAGCGTGCCAAGTCCTGCATGAAGTGGGGCACTCGGGTATTATCCAGCACCCCATGGGGCCGCAGGTGGTCCACATCCTCATAGGACACCTGCAGGAGGAAGCTGGGTATCAGGCAAAGGCAGCAGCCCCTCTTTCAGGTGGCTGGTTCCAGCCCACTGCTTATAGCTTACTGCCCTTTGCTCAGGGACTCCCTCCTCTCCCCTCCTGATCCAGCAGCAGCTACAACGTTTTGTACTACAACGTTCTAGGCTCAATCCTGGGTCTTTGCTTTTTCTCTCAATAGTTTCTATTTGTCAGAGATCTCCCACAACCCCACTCCTCTCTCCAGCCCAGCCTCTCCCCTCACCTCCAAACATGGGCATCCAATTGCCTCCTTAACGTCTTCCCCTGGATAGCCCTCAGACTGGTCCCATATCCAATGGTCAACTCCTGGGTGCCAGCTTATGCCAGCTCCACCCTCTTCACAGTCACCCAGGTCAGATTCCAGGGAGGGGGCTTGGACTCTCACCCTCCCATCAGGGAAGCCACTGAGTTAAAAGGATTCCTCTCTCTGAAGAGCCCTCCAGCTAGTTCCTTCCTCTCAAACCCCATGGCCACTGGTTAGGCCAGACCACCATCCCTTCTGCAAGAGTGACAGGAAAGGCCTCCTCCTCATGCCCTTTCCCTCCCTTCCCTAGGCCTCTCTCCAATCCACCTCCCATAAAATATTCTGAGGGCACCTTCTAAAGCAAATTATCAGTGCCACTCCTCTGCTTAAAGCTCCTCCCACTCCCCGTTGCTTCAGATGAGGTCCACTTTCCTTGGCCTGGCACAAATGCCAGTGCCAGGGAGTTGGTCCCTGTCCATTTCTGCAGCCTCCTTCCCCTGGCCTTCCTGATTGCTCCCTTGGCCTGGAATGTTCACCTCCTTTGAGATGCAGTTTCTAAACACACCTTCAGCCTCCATTAGGCACCTGGTTTTAGCTGTCAGTCATTTCATCGCCTGTTCTCACTTCCACCCACTCTTCCCCCGCCAGCAGAGGCCTGACACCCAACCCTCAGTCCAGCACCAATCTGAGGCTCAGGGTATACTATGGCAAAGCAGGGAGCTGGCTGAGGCTCTCAAGGTCCACAGTCCCTCACCTTGCCCAGTGAGGTCAGCAGCGGGAAATCGATGGTCTGGCGATGTCGCAGAATGCGCACGATGCCGTCTAGGTACACCTGGTCCTTGCTGAAACAACCTGGGAGCGCGGGAAGTCGGTGAGCCCTGCCACTCGCCCAAGGCCCTGCCTCTAGACCCGCCCCACCCTAGGGACCTCCCCTACGCTGGCGCCCACCCGGAAGCGAGGTGTCCGTCTGGCCGCGCTTGGCGCGCACGCAGTACTCCCAGCGCACGTTGGCATCCTGCACGTAGCGCGCCAGGTCCTGGAAGAGCTGGCGAAAGGACATGCGCGCAGCGCGGTGGATGGTGTAGTAGAGAAGTGCGGCGCGCCACAGGAACGGCTGCTTGCGGAACAGCACGCTGTGCAGGCTGGCCAGACCCTCCTCTGTGGGGTTCGCCGGCCGCAGCCCGTACCGCAGCCGGCCCTCCGCGTTGTGCCACGGCTGGCGCGCGTTGTTCACACCCCGCAGGTAGTGGGTGCCTGCGGGGAGGGCGAGAGGAGGCGGCGCTGGGCGAGGTGTTTGGGGACCCACCTGCGAGCCCAGCCGAGGCCCTCCTCCACCCGGCCGGGGCTCTGGCCGCAACATTTCCATCCTCATGCTCCCGAACTCAGGCTACCTCACAAGCTCTCCCAGCTCCAGGCAGCGTGAAGCCCCTCCTCCAGTAGACTTGCACCCAAGGATCCACAGAGGCTCACATACATGAATCCTCTCCCATACATCTGCCCCCCACCCTACACACATGCACCTACGCACGTGTACGAACTCTCCCGAACTGACATTGCCCCCAGCCCTCCTGAGCACAAGAATACATATACCACCCTGCCCAACATCCTGGGTGCCCATATCATTTTGAACAGTCACGCTGATGCCCCTGGTAAAGAACACCTCTTGCCCAGAGCAACACTATTGTCAAGGAAGAGGGACAGATAGGAATAGTGGTTAGTGCCCTGCGCCCTCCTGCCCAGCCTGGCCTGTCCCCTCCTAAACCAGGCCCCATGTGTCCTCAAGCCAAGCCCATTTCAGGATCTGGCCTTCCACCCTGGAGGGCCGGCGTGGTGGCTAGCCTGATGGGACCCTGAGGGTTCGCCCTCTGGCCTGTCAGGGCATTATCAGCCTTGCCCCCACTGCCAAGACAAGTCGGAGAGGAAGGAGAGAGAAAAATATACCCAAAAGAAGCAAGAGATGAGGGCGAGCCCAGAGCGTGGGCAGGCATGTTCTGGCCTACCTCTGCGAGCCAAAGGGAGGAGGTGGCTGCTCAGGAAGGGAAACCCCGACCTCAAGAGGGAAGGGGGAGAAACAAAAAAGGGAGTTACTGGGGTCCCTCCTTCCCACCCCTCCCACCTCCCAGGCCCCTTTCATGCCTACCCACCCGCCCGGATGTTCACATCCTGACCTATCTCATGCCGAAGCATGCCCTCCAACCAGTACTGGCGGGCTCCGGTCAGGTTGATCGCTAATGTGGGCCGGCTGTTCTCCACCATCATCACTGCCTGGGACAGCAGGTCCTCACTCAGCTGCACCACAACCTGCAGGTGGCAGTGCTCTGAGCATGGCCACCAGCCCAGGGCCAGGATGCAGGTGGACCCAATTATACCACAGGGCAGTGGGGTCAGACACTTGGCCAGGACACCTGCCCTCCATTACCTCTGCTCAGAAACAGCTCCCACCTCACTGGGGCAGGGGCAGGGGCAGGGGCAGGGGCAGGAGCAGGGGTTGGTCAGGTGTGGAGCTTGCCTGGGACCGCCCACAAGACATCCTGATTTGGGGCATGTAGAGGAAGGGCTCTGCAGGCAGGACAAGCTCACCTCCCCAACGCAGCCCTCCTTCTGCATGTATTTGCGCACAATGGACCATATCTGGCACTTGGTGAGCAGCTGCCCCCCGGTGGCAGCCTCAAAGTGTTCATAGGTTCCAAACTTCTCCAGAACAGCCTCAATGATGCCAACTGCCTGTACACAGGGCCACAGTGGCTGGTCAGGACAAGCCCCTTGGGTGGTCAGGACCAGGGTGTGGTGGGCAGGCTGGACTGACCTGATGGATGAACTGTCCAGAGGCCTCACAGTACTTCTCCAGCACAGCAGTGGGCACGGGCTCCTGGTACTCGAACTGTGGATTGTAGGTGTAATGGGACTGGAAGAACTTGTCTCGCTCACGGTCCATGTTGGTTGGCCGCAGGGCCACCAACATGCAGGGGCTCTTGCTGGCACCATGGCCTGCATCCCTTTGAGTCTTAGCAATGTGAGGCAGGGAGGCCGCAGGCCGCAGGGTGCCCCCATCTGGGTTCCGTCCCCGTCCAGGTGTAGGCCGTCCCAGGGTGCCACGCCCCCGCCGGCCAATACTATTTACAGTGTAGGTGCTCTCACTGCGACGCATGTGGCCACGGTGGCCCAAGTGTGGCTGTGAGAAGAGCTGCTGCTCAGGCTGGGACTGCAGTGCTGAAGGGACTGCCAGAGCCAGAGGCAAGGCCAGGGACTGAGACCAGGGGTACAGTGGTGGCCCATCTCGGTCTGAGGGCTTCAGCCTATGGCGCAGGGATGAGGTACTGGTAGGTGGGCTGTGGGGTGCCTGCTCATACGCCTGAGCCCCCGAGTCCAGCACCATTCTGTCCTGGGGGTCACATCCAGCCGGGTCACTCCAACTCCCCACACTGTCGACCTCTGGGGACACAGAAGGGCATATGGAGACCAGCATGAGTGGGTGTGACCAGAGGACCTGCAGGCCCTGTGCTCCACACTGCCTCTGCTGGGCCCTTGGTGGGCCCAGGCTCTGCTACCAGCGGTCTGAATGGCTGCAGCATTCATTGCCTCCAGCAGACTCGCCCAAGTATGCTGGGCTGGGGGAAAGCAGCGTTTTTTTTCATTGTTGTTTTTTCAGATAGGGTCTTCCTCTGTCACCCAAGCTGGAGTGCAAAGGCATAATCATAGCTCATTGCAGCCTCCAACGCCTGGCCTCAAGCGATCCTCCTGCCTCAGCCTCCCAAAGTGCTGGAATTAAAGGCATGAGCCACTGTACTCAGTCTAAAGCAAGAGTTTTAAACACCCACCTAGATGGTGGTTACTGGAATCTTCTCAGCCTGTGAGCTCCTGAAGGCAAGGAATGAGCCCCTTACTCCTGATTCTAATCTCTGTGCTCAGCAGTCACTTAATCTGGGAGGTGGTACAGTGCAGCCTCAGCTGCCTGGACAGATTAGGTAGGTGAGAAGGCCTCAGGGGCTGCCTTCTGCCTATGGCATCTTCTCAGTGCCACCCCTGCCCATCCACCTGGCTTTACCCACATCTTCCTGCTCATTTGGCCTCAATTTGAATCTGTCTGAGGGCCCCACACTTAACGCCAGCTCCTCCCAGAATCCCCTCTCTCCTCTGGGCCATCTGTTGAAATCCAAATTTAGAATCTGCTTTTGGGGAGCAGAGGGAAGTTTCAGCAAATCCAAACAAGCCAATCTCTGGCCTGTCCCCTATCTGAGGGGTTTTCCCAGTGGTCATCCAAGGCCAGTGTTAGGGTGCTCACCCCAACTCTGTTCCAGGACTCAGTCCAATCCCGTCTCTCCCCAGAGACTGCCTGGAGAGGCTCCAGCTGCCAAGTTCCCTTGCCTGCTCAGCGACTCACTTTTCAGCATTTCTCCTCTCTCCTACATCATCAATCTCTTCCTCTCTACTGGAGTCTTTCCATCAGCATAAACACATGCTGTTATTTCTCCATCTTAAAAAACAAAACAAAACCCTCACTAGAACCCACACTCCTCCAGCTACAGCCCCGCTGGGTCTCCCTCTATCTGCTCCTATTACATCACATACCTTGAGTCAAATATACCCAGTCTCCAGTTCCTTCTTTCCTGTTCTCTCTCTCTCTTTTTTTTTTTTTTTTTTTTTTTGATACGGAGTCTTGCTCTGTCGCCAGGCTGGAGTGCAGTGGCGCGATCTCGGCTCACTGTAACCTCTGCCTCCTGGGTTCAAGTGATTCTCCTGCCTCGGCCTCCCAAGTAGCTGGGACTACAGGCATGCACCACCATTCCCAGGTAATTTTTATATTTTTAGCAGAGACAGGGTTTTGCCATGTTGGCCAGGATGGTCTCGATCTCTTAACCTCATGATCTGCCTGCCCTGGCCTTCTAAAGTGCTGGGATTACAAGCGGGAGCCACCACGGCTGGCCTCCCATTCTCTGTTAAATTCACTCCAATTAGGCTTTTCTTCCCTGCTTTCCATCCATATTGATTTGATCAAGGTCAGCAATAACGAGCAATGACCTTCATATTGATCAGCACCCAATATAGTTAATCATTGCATCCTGGAAACATGCTGTCCACTTGGTTTTCCAAACACACTCAAACTTAGTTCTCCTCCTACCTCACTGGATGTTTCTTATTGGTGTCCCTTGCTGGTAATCCCTATCTCTCTGACCTCTTAACACTGTAATCCTCCAGGACTTGTTATGGAAACTTCTACATTTATGTTCACTCCCTAGGTGTTCTCATCCACTCTTGTGGTTTTAAATACATTGGCTCAGACTTCTTCCATAAACTTTAGACCAGTGTTGCCAACTTCAGTGCAATTTGAGATAGGGTCTATTTTTCCAGGCTGGTTGTGAATTTTTAGTCTCAAATGATCCTCCCACCTCAGCCTTCAAAATAGTTGGAAACACAGGCACACGCCATCATGTCCAGTGTCAGTGCAATGCCTTCACTTGAATGTTTTTTGTTTGTTTGTTTGAGATGGAGTCTCACTCTGTTGCCCAAGCTGGAGTGCAGTGAAGCAATCTCGGCTCAATGCAACCTCTACTTCCTGGGTTCAAGCAGTTCTCTGCCTCAGCCTCCAAGAAGCTGGGATTACAGCTGCACACCACCATGCCTGGCTAATTTTTGTATTTTTAGTAGAGATGGGATTTTACCATCTTGGCTAGGCTGATCTTGAACTCCTGGCCTCATGATCCCCCTGCCTTGACCTCCCAAAGTTTTGGGATTACAGGCGTGAGCCACTGCACCCAGCCCAACTTGAATGTTTGACAGGCATATCAAACAGAATATATCCATATCAAACAGAATATGTCTGGGATGTTCCTTTCCCTACATAATGGCATGGGTAACTCACTTTCCTCAAATCTCTGCAACAATATAATGTTATTGGAAAAGCCTCTTTAGGCTGGGCACAGTGGCTCATGCCTGTAGCATTTTGGGAGGCTGAAGCAGGCGGATCACCTGAGGTCAGGAGTTCAAGACCTGCCTGACCAACATTGAGAAACCCTGTCTCTACTAAAAATACAAAATTAGCCGGGTGTGGTAGCACATGCCTGTAATCCCAGCTATTTGGGGGGCTGAGGCAGGAGAATCACTTGAATCCAGGAGCCAGAGGTTGCAGTGAGCCAAGATTGTGCCATTGCACTCCAGCTTGGGCAACAAGAGCAAAACTCCATCTCACACACACGCAAAAAAGAAAAGCCTCTCTAAGAACATGCCCTCTATAAAACAGTAAATCTCCTCTCCCCTCTCAACTATCTTCCCTTCCCCAAATTGTTCTCTGTAGCAATCATCACCATTTGAAGTGTACTTCAGTATACTTTATATTTACATGATAGGTATATTTGATGATTATCTGTTTTATCCTTTCCAACATTCCCAGCTGTGTCCCCAGGACAGTGCCTGGCCTGGAGCAGTTGCTCAATAAATAAATGAACCCAAGAGCCCTTCTCCTATCAGAACTAGAATTATTCCTTCCCCGCACTTTGCTTTACTACCTAGACCTCATCTTCTCCGTCTCTACTCCCCTCTATCCTGCCTAATGACCAGCTGCTTGAAAAGACTTCAGGTCTCAGGCTTTACTCCCTTTAACTAACTACACTTTTCTGAACTCCTCACCCTTTACAGGCTTCTAGCTGGGCCAGTCCTCTCCATCTCACCTTTCATTCAACATACCTCCTCGAAATTACCAGAAAACGCGTTCCTTTCATGTCTCAGGTCCTTCCGCCAAGAATGTCCTTGCAATATATTCCTGCAGCAAACTCTTAAGCATTCTTCAAGGCTCACTTTAGGCCTCACCTCCTCCAGGAAGCCTTCCCCGCGTCTAGAGTCCCACTGCTTCGGCGACTTCTTTACTCAGAGCTGTCACTGTCGGATCCTAGGTCCGTGTCCTCCCACCATCCCCTGAACTCCCCGAAGGCAGGAACTGGGTCTGATTCACCCTAGTGTACGAAGCACCCAGCACTGGGTGCATAATTAAAGGATGGATGGGGGAGGAGCCCCCGACTACTAAAGGCGGGGTCTGGTGACAAATGAGAGGGTGTGGCCTGGGCCGATAAGAAGCACCGGGAGAGGATAAGGCGAAGAGCCAATGGGGAACCAGAAATCGAGGAAGGGCGTGACATGCAGCCAATAACCGGCGGAAGATAAGGCGAGGGGCGTGCCCAATGGAGGGTGGGGCCAGGAGACAATGGAGTGGAGGATTCTCCCGGAGATCAAGAAAGGTCGTGTCGCGCACCTCCTCCCGGCCTTTGTGGGGGTTCTGTCCGCGTGCCGCGCCCCCACCTGTTCGTTCCTCTTCTCGCCGCCCGCAGCCCCCGCTCTGCTACACCGGCCACCGACCACCCAGCCGCCGGGAGCCGACACCGATGACGCACGCCCTCGGGCGCGCGCACGCTCTTAGGAAGGCTGGGGGCTTCGCGTCAGTCTCCGCGGCAGCGCGTCCCCGAGGCCACTGGGGGCGGGGCCAGGCCGGGGCGAGGGGGTGTGTTCGTGGTCCTGGGCCCGCCCTCTTCCGAAGGCCCCAGCGGGTTTCTGGAATTCAGAGGCTCCCAGGCTGCCAGGGCGGCAGAGATTCCTGCTCACCGCCTGGGCGCCGAGACATGGGGCCTAGTCCGCGGCCTCGGGAAACGCAGTCCGCACAGAGGGCCAATGCCTGCCTAGGCGGGGCGCAGCTCGTGTACGGGAGCCAGGATACCTTAGGTGTGTCACTCTGCAAGGATTCCCCCAACCTTCGCGGGCACTTTTATTCCACCCTTTCTCCAACACACACAGACTCAGGGGTCCAGGAGCCGTGGTTTATTCTGCGGACAGCGGGGCTCAGGCGCAGAACCCCGAGCGCAGGCAGGAGGCCGACGCAGGCGCGGGTGCGGGCACGAGACTGAAAAGGGCGCGGCGGTCAGCGCAGGGCGAGGGCGGCGGCCCAGCCTTCAGGAAGCTGAGCGCGGCCAGGCGCTGCTCTTGGGACAAGCCACCGCGCAGGTCCAAGAGGGCAGAGACGTGGTCCTCGCTGTAGGGGCAACAGAAGCACGTCAGCTCGGCCCTTGCCCCCCTTCCGGTTTCTCCTCCCTCCCAGACCCCCGTCCGCACCTCACGTCGGGAAATTGTTGCCGCAGGCAAGCCACCTCCAGGCCTAGAAGCGCGGGGTCGTGGAGGTTCAGCAGCTTCCTCAGGGCGAGCAGCACCGGCACGCAGTGCGCGCCCTCCTCCAGGCCCTGAGCACGTCGGGATAGGGTTTCGGCCGGCCCTCGTCTCCCACCCAACCACTGAGACTCTCCCCGTCTGGCCACCCAAGAAGCTCTCACCAAACCGAGGAAAAGCTGCTGAAGCTGAGCAGCATCGTGCTCCAGGCGCTCGGCCGCCTGCGTCCTCTCGTCGGCTCCGCGGCACACCAGTCGGCCTTGCATCAGCGCGCTCAGGTACTGGAGCACCACGGCGCGCTCGGCCTCAGCCAGCAGCACCTGCGGGAGGTAATCAAGCGGGTGCAGGTTGCCTCTCTTACCCGCGCCACCCCTTCCCCAGCCTTTTCCCCCAACGCACCTGAACCGTGGGGTTCCGCACGCGCCAGAAGTCCCGGCAGAAGCGCTCTGTCCGTTTGCACACACTTTCTAGCAGCTCAGGGCTCGACAGCCACCGACGCGAGGGCAAAGCCGCGAACAAGGGCTGGAGAAATGATCCAGACCTGGCATTGCCGCGGAGACCCCTGTACTTACGCTATACGGCCACCTCTGCACCTCCTGCTCCGATGCCGACCTGAAGAAGGCCTCACCTGGAGCTCCGTCAGCAGCGCCTCCAACACCAAGCGGCAGATCCTCCTCTGCAAATCGTCCAGCGCAGCTTCCACTGGAGCCAAGGTCCCTGAAGCCGCCCCGTCCAGCTGCAGGACAGACACTGAGGAGCTGGACCGAGCAAAACTACGGCTTCAGGACCAAGGCCAAGGCCTGCATGGCCCTCGATGGTCCAACCCCTCGGGCGCCACCTTGTGGGGCAAGTGTTTGGCGGGAGGGAGCGAGAACGGCTCCCTGTACTTCTAGTCTCAGGCAAGGACCAGGGCTGGGAGGCGAGCGCTCCGCGATCTACAAAGGACACAGCCCAGTGGGACCTGCCTCTAATTCGCCGTGCGACCTTGAGCAAAACATTCTTTCGGTTTCTGTTTCCTCTTTTCCTCACTATCCCAGTGAGGAGGGAGTAAAAGTCATCACTAATTTGTCCTCCTTGCCCCTACCAAAAAGAACACACTACCCAAGAGGGAGTGTGTGTGTGTGTGTGTGTGTGCGCGCGCGCGCGCGCACTCAACTGTAACCCCAGACATTACTGGCACAGAGTCGGGCCTTGATAAATATTTGCTGGATGAATGAACAATTGACACTGTGCCAGGCACTGTGCATGTTACCTCATGTGATTCTCAGAATATTCCATTAGTACCCACATAATACTGAGAAAAGTGAGATTCAGAGAGATTAGGTCACTCATCCCAGGTCACACAGCTAGAAATCAGCAGAACTAAAATTGGAACCCCCCAGGCGATATGAGTCCAAACTCCCTACTGCCCTAGTGTGGGCTGGGTCCATGCAAAATAGATACTCGATAGTGGGGTAGGGAAGGTGGGGCTCCCTGGGGGCCTTCTGGTACCTGAGTGCTGACTGGTGGTTGAGGGTGGCCAGTAAGTAGGACACGTAATGAGGGGCCACTGCTTCTCCGCTGAGGTGGTCTCGGGAGAATCGGATCAGAGCATCACTGAAGCTGCAATGGGCAGAGGTGGCTCCTGGACTTGCTGCTGTGCTGGCACTCCCACAACCCTAGTCCCTGGTACTCCTGTCCCACCTCCAAGATACCCAAGTCTTTGATTGACAGAGCTCTTTCCCAGTGCTGTGTCTTATTCACTCAGACCCCCTTTGGGCTGCCTGGGGAGCAGGGATAGGGATCAGGAATGGGTGAGTGCCTCCACAGACCTCCTCAGGAATACGCCCAGTTCTGACAGTGCCATGACTTGCACCCGCCATTGCAGTGACTCACTGACCGGGCTGGCCACACGAATGTTCTCCTCCAGGATCTATAGGCAGAAATGAGCAGCCATTGGCAAAGCCTCCCCTTCCCCCTCCTCCCCCTTGCTCCAAGGAGGCTGCTGCCTTTCTGGCCACTTCCCAACTACCTGCATCACAATGGCTGGCAATGGTGAGTAATAGGAGCCCGACGAGTCTGTGTTGGGCTCCTGCTTCTGGCCCCACTCAGCTACCTCCTCATCCAGTGCGTTCTGCAGCCACTGGGCCACATTTGCCTGGGGGAAGGGGCCAGAAGCAAAGGAATGTAGCAGGACTCTGACCCTGCCAGAGATAGGTACACATTCGACTCTGCAGATCAAGGCCCACAGCAGATAAATAGGGCTTCTCTGGACCTGTGCTCCAACTATTCACCTGGACATTGGCCACAAATGTTGCCTCCAGCTGCTCAATGTTCTCCACGGTCAGGAGAGGCTCCAGCTGGGACACATCAGCCTCAGGCCCCAACTCTAGGCTCCCCATCATTTCCTGCCTGGAGATGGATGGCCTAGTGTCACACCAAGCCCCAGCCTTCGATCCCCCACGTCCCACTGCCCCAAGGGCACTGACCCTAGGTACACATGCAGTGCCCAGTGCAGCAAGGTGAAGGCATCAGCAGCTCCCAGCTCAGGCCCTGTAAGGAGGTGCTGCAGGCTGCGGTGCAGGCCACTGTGCAGGGTGTAGGCCCATAGCCGGACCACGTTGTAGTATGGTGGGCAGCAAGGCGCTACTAGTGCCTCAGCTGTGGCCAACTCAACTGGCAGGGCCACTCGCAGAGCCTCCAGCCACTCTGCTAGGGCCCCTGGCGTGGGCAGCAGAGGTGACCCGAAGTGGGCCCGCTCCAGACCCTCCTGTAGTGCCCGTAGACAGCGCTGCCGCCAGTCCCGGGGGGCCTGGCCTAGGGGGTTTTTTCGTCCAGTCTCTACCTCCGCCACACGCACAGCAGCCACCAGAAGGGCTGGGTCCTCCCGTGCCAGCTTCCCTGCAGTCGCTGCAGCTGCTTCCACAGCCTGGCCCAGTGCCTCAGCCAAAAGGTCCAGCCCCTGGAATACTGGCAACTCCAGGACTCCCAGGAGTGCCCACGTATCCTCTCGCAGCTTCTCCAGCTCCCGAAGGCTCACATATGCCTCCAAGAACTGTTGGGCATCAATCAGGATCTCTGTGTGGGCCACTGCAGCTGGCACTAATGAGGATGAAAAGGAGACAGCCTTGGGTCTCAGCCTTCCCACCGCCTCAAATGTCTATAGCAGAGGAGGATACTGAGGCCCAGGGCTGGGGTGATGTATAAAATATTTAATAATCAGTAAAGTAAGCTGGGCACTGGCTCACACCTGTAATCCCAGCACTTCGGGAAGCTGAGGTGGGCAGATCACTTGAGGTCAGGAGTTTGATACCAGCCTGGCCAAAATAGTGAAATCCTGTCTCTACTAAAAATCCCAAAATTAGCCAGGGTGGTGGCAGGTGCCTGTAATCCCAGCTACTCAGGAGTCTGAGGCAGGAGAATCACTTGAACCTGGGAGGTGGAGGTTGCAGTAAGCGGAGATTGCACCACCGCACTCCAGCCTGGGCGACAGAGTGAGACTCTGTTTCAAAAACAAAACAAAACAAAAAACAAACAAAAGGGGCTGGCAAGGTGGCTTATGCCTGTAATCCCAACACTTTGGGAGGCCGAGGCGGTCAGATCACTTGAGGTAGGGAGTTTGAGACCAGCCTGATCAACATGGAGAAACCCTATCTCTACTAAAAATACAAAATTAGCTGGGTGTGTTGGTGCATGCCTGTAATCCCAGCTACTCAGGAGGCTGAGGCAGGAGAATCACTTGAACCTGGGAGGCATAGGCTACAGTGAGCTGAGATCGCAGCATTGCACTCCAGCCTGGGCAACAAAAGCAAAACTCTGTCTCAAAAAAATAATAACAATAATAATAGGCCGGGGCGCAGTGGCTCGTGCCTGTAATCCCAGCACTTTGGGAAGCCAAGGAGGGCAGATCACAAGGTCAGGAGATCGAGACTGTCCTGTCCAACATGGTGAAACCCTGTCTCTACTAAAAATACAAAAATTTGCTGGGCGTGGTAGCACACACCTGTAGTCCCAGCTACTCGGGAGGCTGTGACAGGAGAATTGCTTGAACCCAGGAGGTAGAGGTTGCAGTGAGCCGAGATCCAGCCACTGCTCTCCAGGCTGGCGACAGAGTGAGACTCCCTCTCAAAATAAAAACTAAAAAAAAAAAAAAAAAAAAAAAGACATGTAAACAAACAAAAAACCACAAATAAAAAAATAACCAGTTGAGTACTGGCCAATCTAAGAGGATCTTGGCTATGTCCTAGAGGCCAGGTGGGCCAGAGGTCAACGCATGAGCTCATGGAACACAAAAAAGCTGAGGATCCTGGAGGGAAGGCAGGGGAAATCGAGGGGCCCTGCCAGTAGTCACTCAGCCACTCTGTTAAGGAAGAGTTCCAATATATTGATAAGCAGGTGGCCAGAGTCACGTGACTGGGTGTCTGTCCCAACTCAAGCATTCCACACTTGGGAACCCCAGGATGAGCCGATTTGCACCCTGCCTCATAGGCCATGGGCAGCCTGGGCTACTCTCTGGAAGGTCCCTGGTGTGCTACTCTATACGGTTTCCCATCTAGTGCCCCAGCCCTTTGGTCAGGGATGGGTGTTTGTGGACTGACTGTTGGAGACTGAGGCCCAGGGTCCTGCATCTCACCTGCCCGTAGCTGAGGCAGCAACTGAGACAGGGCCTGCAGTTGCTTGTGCTGGGCAACCTGCTCCCGTAGGGACTGTAGGGGCTGTGAGGTCTGGGACACGCCCTGGAGCAACCCACGAGCCTGGCTCAGGGCCTCCCGGGTTTCCTGCACGGCCTCAAGGGCCTGAGCCAGCTGCCACACACCAGTCTGCACGCCTTCCAGGTATGACTGCATCACTGACTGTGGAGAGATGGTGCCAGTGAGGCCTGGCCAACCCTGCAGCACAGTCCCAGCACCCACCCCACCTTGCTCCATGCCCACCTTGAGGCGTGCTTCCAGGGAGCAGGTACGCTGCACCTCTCGGCTGCGGTACTGGCCTAGCCTGGCCAGCTGCTCCGGCTGGTAGAAGATGCCCGAGGCCCACTTGAGCGCTGCACCCCGGGCTAGCCGCTCTGCCCGCTCCTGCTCTGGCCACTCGGGCCCTGGGCAGGAAGAGCCTGGGTAGCCGTGTCAGTCAGGGAGGCGGAGGGCCCGATGCCCCCAGTCTCATCTTTCTTATTTATTTATTTATTTTTTGAGGCGGAGTCTCGTTCTGTTGCCCAGGCTGGAGTGCAATGGGGTGATCTCAGCTCACTGCAACCTCCGCCTCCAGGGTTCAAGTTATTCTCCAGCCTCAGCCTCCCCAGGGGCTGGGATTATAGGTGTGTGCCACCATGGCCAGCTAGTTTTTGTATTTTTAGTAGAGACGGGTTTCACTATGCTGGCCAAGTTAGTCTTGAACTCCTGACCTCAGGTTATCCACCCATCTCGGCCTTCCAAATTGCTGGGATTATAGGTGTGAGCCACCACACCCAGCCAGACCCATCTTTGTTGCCATCATTCCACCCCCAGCCCACTTAGAAGGTTCATACCAGGGGACAACGTGGGCTGCATTTCATCCTTGGCTGCTGAGTCCATTGTGGGCCTGGAGGAGCCGAAGCTGAGGTGGGCCTGGGGCAAGCAGGCAGAGTAGATGCCCCTCTGAGCTGCTGCCTCTGTCTAGGCCCTTCTGAGAAGGAGGAAGGAGGTTCTTCCTGGTCCTCTCAGGAAATGAGAGGGAGGAGGTGTGATGCAGTGGACACCTGGGAGGCTTTGCCTGCTAGGTTTCCCAGTTATGCCCCTGCAGATGCCAAGCGAGACAGGGTGGGCACAGGTCTCAACTGGACCCTGGTCCTGCTCTGAGCCACACGGGACAATTTGGTACAGAACTTACCAGATTTGATCAGGCGTCCAGTTCGCCCTCCACAAATGACCTTGACCTTGAGAACAGCCCTCTCTCCCGATGGAGCTGGGCATGCCTGCCACTCGTTCACAGGGCCTGGGTGACTCCAGCTGACTCCAGTGTGCAGCTGAATTTCCCCAAGGAAATCTTTCTCCCACTCCCCAGCCCAGAAGCCCCTTTTTCCCACCACGGCTCCTCCCTCCCCAAGGCCACCGACAGAAAGGAAGGAAGCTGAGTCTCTGGCATTTTATTCCCAACAGGAAAAAGCATTTGCATGGAGGGTGGGGAGGGCTGGGCGCCACTTCCCTGAGCGGGGGTGGGCGGGATGTACTTGTGATCAACAAGTCTTGACCAGCCCACCCAGAACCTCTTAGTGCTCAGGACAGGAGACAGGGATTTGCTAGACTTGGCCTCAACTTGGGGTGGTGGGCAGTGTGCAGATATGAATGAAGATGATGTCAACATCACAGGATGGAAACCGTGTTGACCTGACTCTGAGGAGGGTGTGTACCTCTGCGGAGAAGTGAGGGGTGGCAGGCTGTTGTGAAGGGGGGTGGCAGGAGAGGGTCATGAAAAGTGTGTTTATCTTTTTTGTTTAGACAGGGTCTCCATCTGTCACCACGGCTGGAGTACAGTGTCACCATCATAGCTCACTGCAGCCTCCTGGGCTCAAGCGATCTGCCTACCTCAGCCTCCCAAAGTGTTGGGATTACAGGTATGAGTCACCACAACTGGGCAGCTATGTTTATCTTGAGAATTACAGGGACCCAGGAAAGGGACTACAAGGTGGTAATAATTTAGTGGATGTTCAGTCCACCACCCAAATCCACCCTTCATGATAGAGGCACTCATTCTCCAAATGTGAGTGTAGGCTGCTGAGGTCATACCACTGAGTCTCTCAATGTTGGGTTGCAAAAGCATGGTACCATCTCGTGAACATGAACCCTTTAGCAGTGCTACCCCAATTTCAGAGGTCCTAGTGGGATAGGCTGAGGCCTATAATATAATTGCATCTGCCCAATTCTGCTGTTTTACTCCCTTAAAATGTGGATCCTGGCCAGGTGCTATAGCTCATGCCTGTAATCTCAGCATTGTGGGAGGCTGAGGTAGGAGGATCGCTTGAGCCCACCAGTCCAAGACTAACCTGGGCCATTTAGTGAGCCCCTCATCTCTACAAAAACTAAAAGTAAGGGCTGGGTGCAGAAGCTCACGCCTGTAATCCCAGCACTTTGGGAGGCCAAAGTGGGCGGATCACAAGGTCAGGAGTTCAAAACCAGCCTGACCAACGTGGTGAAACCCAGTCTCTACTAAAAAATACAAAAATTAGTTGGGTGTGGTGGCAGTTGCCTGTAATCCCAGCTACTCAAGATGCTGAGGCAGGAGAATTGCTTGAACCCAGAAGGCGGAGGTTGCAGTGAGTGGATTGTGCCATTGCACTCCAGCCTGGGCAACAGAGTGAGACTCCGACTGAAAAACAAAAACAAACTAAAAATAAGCGAGCCAGATGTGGTGGTGCATGCCTGTGGTCTCAGCTACTTGGGAGGCTGGGGTGGGAGAATTGCTTAAGCCCAGGAAGCTGAGACTGCATTGATCCTGCCACTGCACTCCAGCCTGGGCAAGAAACAAATTGAGACCCACCTTAAAAAAAAAAAAGGTGTGAATCACCAACAAACTTGCTGCAAAATGAGTCGCATTTCCCAGAGAACCTGACCTGAAAGAAACAACGTTAAAAAATAACAAAATGGCGGGCGAGGTGGCTCACGCCTGTAATCCCAGCACTTTAGCAGGCCGAGGTGGGTGGATCACCTGAGGTCAGGAGTTTGAGTAACATCTGCCTAACATGGAGAAATCGCGTCTCGACTAAAAACACAAAATTAGCAGGGGGTGGTGGCGTGGGCCTGTAACCCAGCTACTTGGGAGGCTGAGGCAGGAGAATCGCTTCAACTCGGGAGGCAGAGGTTGCGATGAGCTGAGATTGTGCCATTGTGCTCCAGCCTGGGCGACAAGAGCGAAGATGCATAACAATCAAAACAAAACAAAACTATATATATATATATATATATATATATATATATATATATATGAATAGGCAGGGCGCAGTGGCTCACGCCTGTAATCCCAACATTTTGGGAGGCCGAGGCGGGTGGATTACGAGGTCAAGAGATCAAGACCATCCTGGCCAAAATGGTGAAACCCTGTCTCTACTAAAATTACAAAAATTAGCTGGGTGTGGTGGCGCGTGCCTTTAGTCCTAGCTACTCGGGAGGCTGAGGCAGAAGAATCACTTGAACCTGGGAGGCGGAGGTTGCAGTGAGCCGAGATTGCACCATTGCACTCCAGACTGGTGACAGAGCGAGACTGCGTCTCTAAATAAATAAATAGAACCAAAAAAAGGAACAGGTTTGAGGGAACAGATTGGAATAGTTAGGTAGTGTGGTCTTCTCTCCCGAGATGGGGACTGCACAGAGTTGGTGATGTTGGGGCAAACCGGCAAGGAAAGTTCCGATGGCGCCCCTTTCTCTACTGCTAGGGCTGCCAACTGACACCCTCCTCATTCCTCTCCAGCTTTATCCTTAACTCCCGATATACCCAAGTAGTTTTCGTCTTATTCGGCGGCTGGACATTTGCTAATGGTCCCTGAACTTTTGCGGCTGCGCCTGCAGACAAAAACAACGCGGCGTTCCCTGGAAGGGGCATGTGGCGGAAGCGGAAGAAGCGACTCTGGCTGAGGCGGCCGGGAGGGCAGGAACGGAAGCGGAAGTGGCGGCGGCGCCGGCCTGGCCTGGCCTGGCTGAGGGGAGGCGGCGGGCGGGCGAGATGGCGGAGGCCGGGCCGCAGGCGCCGCCGCCCCCGGGCACTCCAAGCCGGCACGAAAAGAGCCTGGGACTACTCACCACCAAGTTCGTGTCGCTTCTGCAGGAGGCCAAGGACGGCGTGCTTGACCTCAAGCTGGTGCGGCCCGGGCTAAGGGACGACAAGGGTGGGTGGTGGACCAGGCCTGAGCTGGTAGCGGGAACCCCGGGGGCGGCCCGGCCGGGTCCTCCGAGAGCCAGCCGCCATCGTGTGCTTTCTCAGAGGAGAGAGGCCGGGGGATATTTCATTCATTCAGCCGAGGCCATTGAGCGGCAGCTATGGGCCAGGCTCAGGGCTGCAGGTGTTTGTCCTCGTGGCCCTTCCTGGCTGGCGGGGAGAATAGCTTCAGAACACCACTTCAGGGCTGTGCGCCAGGTCTCTTCTCACCCTGCGGTCCTGAGCTGCAGTAGCACGTGAGAGGCACTACAGGGTTGGAATCCAGGTTACTCCCTTCCCAGACCACTTCTCAGGGTGGCTGGGGGTACACCCAAGAGTGGACCTGATCATTCTTTATTCTGTCTGCCAGGCAGCTGACACCCTAGCTGTACGCCAGAAGCGCCGGATTTATGACATTACCAATGTTTTGGAAGGTATCGGGCTGATCGAGAAAAAGTCCAAGAACAGCATCCAGTGGAAGTGAGTGGGGATAGTGGGAGGGTAGTAGAGTCTCCTACCCAGAAGTGTCAGGGGTGTGGGGTGGAGGATGCGGAAGAAGGCAGGGGCCGTGGGACCCAGAGTTCTCAGCAGTTCCTCTCGGCCTCACTCCCTGGGCTCAGGGGTGTGGGGCCTGGCTGCAATACCCGGGAGATTGCCGACAAGCTGATTGAGCTCAAGGCAGAGATCGAGGAGCTGCAACAGCGGGAGCAAGAACTAGACCAGCACAAGGTGTGGGTGCAGCAGAGCATCCGGAATGTCACAGAGGACGTGCAGAACAGCTGATATCCTCCTGGCGGTCCCTGCTGTGGCGAGTGGGCAAGGGGCCCTCTGGTTCAACTTGCCCTGGGTCCTTTCCCTCTTAGGAGCTTGTCCTGTGGCCCCTGGCCATGTCCCAGCCTCAGGCTCCCTCCTCAGAGCCCGTTCCCTTCCAGTCTTAGCCTGTGATCCCTCCCCGGGTGGACCCCAGTCCCCAGAACTTTCTTTGAGGGCCTATTTGTCAGACCTTGGCTAAAGAGTTGGGTCTTCCCTGTAGTCTGCTGTCTGTCACCATAGGGCATCAGCCATTCTCCTTAACCCTCACACTTTGGCCTACGTCACTCATGAGGACATCTGCAGATGCTTTGCTGGTGAGCAGAGCCTGGGTAGGGACAAGTGGGTGGGCTGGGCTCAGCTAAAGCCCTGAGCACTGGGCTCAGTGTCTCAGGAGACTTTCGTCTCTCAAGAGGGTTTCTGGGGCCTGCTCAGAGAGGACCCAGGCAGGGTAAGTCTTCTGTCTGAGGGGCACTGGAACCCTGTGGAGGTCAGCTATACTGAGAGGGTACAGGAATTCTGGAGTGAGTCCTTGGGTTTGTTCCCATCTGCACTGTTACATGGATTTGACTTCTTGGGCATGATAGAGGCACAAGGGAGAAGAGGGGGAGAGAGGATACGTGTGTATTTGCTTGTGTGCAGACTCTTACATGCTTGTATGCAGGGTATGGGGTTGCCCACTTCCAACCTGTTATTTAGTTGTATTGTGAATACAGGATCTGTTCCTTTTTTTTTTTTTTTTTTTTTTTTTAAAGAGACGAGGTTAGGCCGGGCGCGGTGGCTCAAGCCTGTAATCCCAGCACTTTGGGAGGCCGAGGCGGGTGGATCACGAGGTCGAGAGATCGAGACCATCCTGGTCAACATAGTGAAACCCCGTCTCTACTAAAAATACAAAAAAAACTAGCTGGGCGTGGTGGCAGCGTGCCTGTAATCCCAGCTACTTAGGAGGCTGAGGCAGGAGAATTGCCTGAGCCCAGGAGGCGGAGGTTGCGGTGAGCCGAGATTGCGCCATTGCACTCCAGCCTGGGTAACAAGGGCAAAAATCGGTCTCAAAAAAAAAAAAAAAAAAAAAGAGACGAGGTCTCACTATGTTGCCCAGACTGGACTTGAACTCCTGAGCTCAAGCTGTCTAACTGGCTTGACCCCCTAAAGTGCTGGGATTATAGGCCTGAGCCACTGTGCCCCACCAACGTATTTCTTCTCCATCTTGTATCCCCAAGGCTGGTCATGGGAAAGGGATGTTGGCCTTGGCTAGAACACCTTCACCTAGGGATCAGCCATTGGTGGAGTGAGGTGCCTGTGGCCAGTGATCTTTCACTCCACATACTTGAACTCAGATTTCCTGGTTACTGACCCTCAGAAAGAGAAGAGCTTTAGTTCTGCCCAGCCACTGCAGGGGATGGGCGAGACCCACTGACTAGTCCCTCAGAGACCATGATCTCCTGCCATGCTCCAAAAGGCAGGTACCTCTGTTCCCAGCTCAGATTTAGCCTATGGGCTCTGACCCATTCTCTGTCATTCTAGGAGATACCCTCTTGGCCATCCGGGCCCCATCAGGCACCAGCCTGGAGGTGCCCATCCCAGAGGTGGGTGCTTAGCCTAGGCAGGCGGGGTAAGCTGAGGGCGGGTGCTGGCTGTGGAGCCTGATAAGTCCCGGCTGGGGCAGGTAGGGAGAGGCCTGGAGTTCGGGGTTATCTGGGAGGATGGGCAGCCTGGGTGGGAGAGGATACTGTGGTCCTGACTCAGAGTTGGGCAGGAGTCAGGACCACAAGCCTGCTTGCAATTCTACCCATCTCCCATCCCTTGCCACCCATCTCTAGGGTCTCAATGGGCAGAAGAAGTACCAGATTCACCTGAAGAGTGTGAGTGGCCCCATTGAGGTTCTGCTGGTGAACAAGGAGGCATGGAGCTCACCCCCTGTGGCTGTGCCTGTGCCACCACCTGAAGATCTGCTCCAGAGCCCACCTGCTGTTTCTACGCCTCCACCTCTATCCAAGCCTGCCCTTGCTCAGTCCCAGGAAGCTTCACGTCCAAATAGTCCTCAACTCACTCCCACTCCTGTCCCTGGTAGCACAGAAGTCCAGGGGATGGCCAGCCCAGCAGCTGAGATCACAGGTGAGGCACCATGGGAGCTTGTGATGGTGACCCAAGAGGCAGTAGCTCTGTGTTGTGGAATGCCACATGAAGAGTTGGAAGAGGCTCTTCAGGTTAGGGACTGTCCTTTTCCTGACCTCTATCTAGCCTTCCCTTGCTGTGGTAACAAATGAGCCTTTTTTTGTTTGTTTGAGATGGAGCCTTGCTGTGTTGCCCAGGCTGGAGTGCAATGGTTCTGCCTTGGCTCATACAACCTCCACCTCCTGAGCTCAAGCAGTTCTCCTGCCTTAGCCTGCCGAGTAGCTGGGATTACAGGTGACCACCACCACACCTGGCTAATTCTTGTACTTTTAGTAGAGATGGGGTTTTACCACATTTGCTAGGCTGGTTTTGAACTCCTGACCTCAAATGATCCACCTACCTTGGCCTCCCAAAGTGCTGGGATTATAGACATGAACCATCAAGCCCACCTGCGTGGGGCTTTATTTTATTTTATTTTATTTTTTATTTTTATTATTTTTTTATTTTTTTTTTAGTAGAGACGGGGTTTCACCATGTGGACCAGGATGGTCTCGATCTCTTGACCTCGTGATCCACCCGCCTCAGCCTCCCAAAGTGCTGGGATTACAGGCTTGAGCCACCGCACCCGGCTTTATTTTATTTTTTTAAGATGGGAGTCTCGTTCTGTTGCCCAGGCTGAAGTGCAGTGGCATGGTCATGGCTCACTGCAACCTCTGCCTCCTGAGTTCAAGTGATTTTCCTGCCTCAGTCTCCTGAATAGCTGGGATTACAGGTGCATGCCACTACGCCTGACTAATTGAATGGGCCTTTCTTTTCTTTTTTGAGATGGAGTCTTGCTCTGTCACCCAGGCTGGAGTGCAATGGCTCAATTTCCACTTACCACAACCTCCACTTCCTGGGTTCAAGCGATTCTCTTGTCTCGGCCTCCTGAGTAGCTAAGATTACACTCACGTGCCACCACGCCTCGCCAATTTACTGTATTTTTAGTAGAGACGGGGTTTTACCATGTTGGCCAGGTTGGTCTTGAACTCCTGACCTCGTGATCTGCTCGCCTCTGCTTCCCAAAGTGCTGGGATTACAGGCGTAAGCCACCGCACCCGGCTGAATGGGACTTTTTTTTTTTTTTTTTTTGAGACGGAGTTTCGCTCTTGTTACCCAGGCTGGAGTGCAATGGCGCGATCTCGGCTCACCGCAGCCTCTGCCTCCTGGGTTCAGGCAATTCTCCTGCCTCAGCCTCTTGAGTAGCTGGGATTACAGGCACGCGCCACCATGCCCAGCTAATTTTTTGTATTTTTAGTAGAGACAGGGTTTCACCTTGTTGACCAGGTTGGTCTCGATCTCTTGACCTTGTGATCCACCCGCCTCGGCCTCCCAAAGTGCTGGGATTACAGGCTTGAGCCACCGCGCCCGGCCTGAATGGGACTTTTTTAACAGGGAACCTCTGACTGTGGGAAAGGGACATTGCTGGTGGCAGTCCCCCCACCTCCATTGCCCTGGTAGCCCATCTTGAAGTAGGGTCACAGCAGACATGTTGTCGATGAGTCTCTTTCCGTAGGTCTGGTGCCCCTGTCTCCTATTGCGACTGATTTCCAGGTTGCCTCCCCTCGGGCGACTGGCAATGCCTAATTCTCCATGAGTCTGAGAACCAGGCTTGTGGTCCTCCTGGCTGTGGGGCCAGACGGGTTCGATAACCTCTTCCTGACCTTATGTGACTGGGTTTGGGGGCAGTCATTGCAGTGAGTGGCGGCCCTGGAACTGATAGCAAAGACGGTGCTGAGCTCAGTTCACTCCCACTGGGCCCGACAGCACTGGATACCCGGCCGCTGCAGTCTTCTGCCTTGCTGGACAGCAGCAGCAGCAGTAGCAGTAACAGCAGCAGCAGTAGCAGTAACAGCAGCAGTTCATCTGGACCCAATCCTTCTACCTCCTTTGAGCCCATCAAGGCAGACCCCACAGGCGGTGAGTACCTGCCTTCCAGGGGCAGAGAGAGTCCAGTCTTAGGGCAGTCCTAGGTCAGAAACACAATTGGGGATGGAACCTAGCTCTCCTGTCAACCTTGCCGGACCAGAACTCTCTGCCAGCACCTCTGGGGCAGTGCTGATGTCCTCTCTAGCACCCCATCCTGGGCTAGCACAGAACTCCCTGCCCTCTCTTCAGCCCTTCCTGCTACCCCTTGGAGCACCATTGTCTTGTCTCACTAATTGACACTTCTATCACTTTCTCTCATCTTCTCTGTCTCTTTTCTCTCTGCACTCCTTGAAAAAGTAATTTCCATTCCACATCTTGGTCTCCTAGTCACCTTTCAGGTTGCAGCAGTCACTCTGTAGTCTCAGTGTTATAGCAGTGCCACCTTTTTATTTATTTATTTATTTATTTATTTTTGAGATGGAGTTTTGCTCTTGTTGCCCAGGCTATAGTGCAGTGGTGTGACCTCGGCTCACTGCGACCTCCACCTCGTGGGTTCAAGTGATTTTCTTGCCTCAGTCTCCTGAGTAGCTGGGATTATAGGCATGCGCCACCACACCCGGCTAATTTTTATTTTTAGTAGAGATGGGGTTTCTTGATTTTGGTCAGGCTGGTCTTGAACTCTTGACCTCAGATGATCCACCCACCTCATAGACATGAGCCACCACACCCAGCCAGTGGTGCCACTTGAAAAGCTGCCGAAGGCTTGCCAAGCCCAGCAGCCCTCCAGCGTGTTTGCCTGGTGCTCTCTTGGTCCATGTCAATGTTCTTTTTCCTTAGGCTTTAATGATGTAAGTTCTTGGCTCCCCTACCTCACTGGCTTCTTTTTTAACTCTTCCTGTCACATCTTTAAACATTGGCGCTTTCAAGATCTCTGTCCCATTCCACTCCTGGAGAGGGCTGCAGCTCTGGATGAATGAATCCCCAACCACTGGCTGGCCTAAATCTTTTCCCAGTCTGCACACTTTGGTGTCCAGTTTCCATCCTCTGTACATCCAGTGGACACTTCATTCCCGCCTGTCATTGACTGAACTCAGTTTCCTTCTGAAGCTTGCTTTCCACCTCTGTGCACCCTACCGTTGGCTCTAGTTGTCCAGGCTTGACCCTTGGCTCTCACTCTAATTCCATCTCCTTCTCCCTCCTCCTTCTACTGCTCACCCCATGTCAGCTCAGCGAGGTCTGTCCCAGATGTCCCCTCCTATTCTCTGGTATCCTCAGCACTCAGGACGACCCCTAGCCACCTCTGTTCTGGATTCTTCAGGATCTTTCTCTTTACCCTGACAGAATGATCTTTCTGAAATGCAGGCCTGACAGAAATGTGGCATTTCTGTGTTTGCAATAGTACCTTTTTTGTTTGTTTGTTTGTTTTTTTGAGACAGAGTTTCTCTCTTTTTTTTTTTTTTTTTTTTTGAGACGGAGTTTCGCTCTTGTTACCCAGGCTGGAGTGCAATGGCGCAATCTCGGCTCACCGCAACCTCCGCCTCCTGGGTTCAGGCAACTCTCCTGCCTCAGCCTCCTGAGTAGCTGGGATTACAGGCACACACTACCATGCCCAGCTAATTTTTTGTATTTTTAGTAGAGACGGGGTTTCACCATGTTGACCAGGTTGGTCTCGATCTCTTGACCTCGTGATCCACCCGCCTCGGCCTCGCAAAGTGCTGGGATTACAAGCTTGAGCCACCGCGCCCGGCCAGAGTTTCACTCTTGTTACCCAGGCTGGAGTGCAATGGCGCGATCTCGGCTTACCGCAACCTCCGCCTCCTGGGTTCAAGCAATTCTCCTGCCTCAGCCTCCTGAGTAGCTGGGTTTACAGGCACGTGCCACCATGCCCAGCTAATTTTTTCTATTTTTAGTAGAGACGGGGTTTCACCATGTTGACCAGGATGGTCTCGATCTCTTGACCTTGTGATCCACCTGCCTTGACCTCCCAAAGTGCTGGGATTACAGGCTTGAGCCACCGTGCTCGGCTGCAATAGTACCTTTAATGGCTCCTTGAGGGCCACCAGATAAGATCTGAGCTCCTGAGCTTGGCATGTGGAATCCCTTGGTCCTCTCTAGTTGCATTTTCTTCTGCTTCCCCTGTGTCCGGGGGACTTCACTACAAATCCCCTGGCCAGAGATTTGTAGTGAAGTCATCACCCTGTAGCACCACCACCTCTGCCAGCTGACCTGACCCAGGGTCTGGTCTTTGAGTCTTGCGCAGATCAGGTGCTCAGCAAGGACGGACAGATGGGGTACCTTCTATCAGACAGGGTGTACATGCTGAGCCCAGAAAGGGAAGGGAGTCTGTTGCTCTTCTCTGTCCTTTCCAAGTTAGAAAAGCTGTACCAATCACTTGCAGTGGGCCTTTGATACCCTGGGCTCAGCACTGAGCAATTCCAGTTTAGCAAGTGAGGCCAACAGTGCCAGGTTGGCCTAGGCAGGGCCCACGTCTCCTCAGCTGTGTGGAGCCTCAGGATGGGTGGTATAGGATCCAAGGAGGGCAGGGGGATGTAGTGGGACCAAGCTGGACCTCTGTTCCCTGAGTATGGCTTTCTTGTTTTTCAGTTTTGGAACTCCCCAAAGAGCTGTCAGAAATCTTTGATCCCACACGAGGTAGGCTGCTGCATTCCTCCCTGGGGCTAGGGGTAAAGGACACAGCTTGTTGGGTCCTACGGCTGTTTATTTGCCCTTTTGAGGACCTTGTGGTGGTGCTTATGGTAACTGGGGCAAAGGGTGAAGTTCCTGATAGGCGGGTGGGGTTTCCTTTCCTGGGCTTTGGTGGGTGGAGAAGTGGGAACTGGAATGTTAGTAACTGAGCTCTCTCCATTCCCAGAGTGCATGAGCTCAGAGCTGCTGGAGGAGTTGATGTCCTCAGAAGGTGGGTGGCCCTGGAAGGTGGGAGTGGGTATGGGCTGGGGTTGGGCTGCTGCTGGGGGGGCCCTTGCCTAGGCCTGAGCCTAGTGTTCTCTGCAGTGTTTGCCCCCTTGCTCCGTCTTTCTCCACCCCCCGGAGACCACGATTACATCTACAACCTGGATGAGAGTGAAGGTGTCTGTGACCTCTTTGATGTGCCTGTTCTCAACCTCTGATTGACAGGGACATGCCCTGTGTGGCTGGGACCCAGACTGACTTGGGGGTTGCCTGGGGACCTCCCCAACCTGACCCCTACACAGCTTGAGAGCCACAGACACCTGGCTTCTCCAGCCTTCCCTCACTGCACAGTTCTGGCCACAGCTCCCGCTCCTACGCTGGCAGTTCTACTGTGCTCGCAGAGCAGGGGAATGGGGCTCAGCCCCCACCACTGTGGAGCCAAAGTGTTTGCTTCTCCTTTTCGGCGGCCTTCCCAAGCCCAGGCTCAGCTGCCACCCAGTGGCAAGTGGCACAGAACCGAAGAGCTGTCATCGCCACCCCCTCCCCCAGTAGGGCAGCTTGTCCAGCCTCACTGTCTTGCTCACGTGCCAGATCCTTGCCCTAGGAGGGAAGGGTTGGGTGGAGCTGGGCACGTGCCAGCACCACCCTTAGCTTCCTTCACTGTCCTCTAGCCCTGACCCTCCAGCACCTCCTGGCCCTCTCACGTGCCCTCTTCTGGGCCTTTAGCCCAAGAACCTGCAGGTGGTGGGGGTGGCTGCAAAGAAGGAACAGAGGTCTCTGGTGAGGAGTCTGGGTGGTCCAGCCCTGAGGATTGGCCCGACCTCCTGCTGCCCCATAACCTCCTCTTCATTTCTGCTTATTCATTTACCCTCATTTAGAGCCATTTGCAGAGATTTAGAAAGATTTACAGTAACGAATGGATTCCTATATAAAGATTATTTTTATACTTTTTGCAGCAAAAGGAAATTGTAATATTTGTACAGTGTCCAAGTGAATAAAAACCATGCCTAAGGCTAGCTCTAATGTGGTTCTTTTGGGACTCCTTAGGATTGGCGGCGGGACTGGGTGGGTCACCTTGCTGGAACTGGAGGTGGGAAGGCCTCCAGCAGCCTACCTTCCCCGCCCCAAAATGACGCACCTTGGTATAGGGCGCGGCCGCCTCCGCGGGGCGGGGCAGACGGAGCCGTCCTACCTTCCTACCCCCGGACTCCAACCCGGAACTAGCCTCGCTCCCTTGGGAAAGCCGCGTTGCCCGGCCTTGAGCCGCAGCCTGGGCCGTGATTGTGGGACACCGGGGTCAGGTATCCGAAAGGGGGACGAGCTTCTCGTCTCCAGGGGCCCCAGACCAGGTGCGCCGTCGGCCGCAGGTGCACGGTCTACGAAAAGTGCGGGCACCCACACCCCGGCTGGACCATGGCGCCTCCGCGGAACGTGGTGAAGATTGCTGTCCAGATGCGTGACGCCATCCCGCAGCTCATCCAGCTGGACCAGGTCACCCGGCCGGTCCCGCCTCTATCTGCCCCACCATCCCACCTCCCCGTCGCCCCCTGGCCCTCAGGGCCGTCCGCCCCACCCTTCCTCCCAGGCTCCTCCCCATTCCTCCCTGCCCCAGCCGCCAGAGTGACCACTCCACTTGCAGGCGAAGCCCCTGGCCGCTGTGCTGAAAGAGGTGTGCGACGCGTGAGTACTGCTGGGCCGGGGCCTGCGAAGGGCGGTAGGGCAGGAGGGGCGGCGCCCCCTGCTGGCCTCGCTGAGCCTCGTGCCTCGCAGGTGGAGCCTGACGCACTCTGAGCGCTACGCCCTGCAGTTTGCGGATGGGCACAGGAGATACATCACTGAAAATGTGAGTCCCCTCTCCCTCTGCCCTCCGACCCCTCTAACCCACCTGGCCCTGTTGTCCCCGGCTCTTCATCCCACTAGTGGAATGTGGTCTTTTGCTGACCTCAGCCGCCCTCACCGACACCCCAGTTGTTCAGTCCTCAGAGCCCTCCCTGACCTCACTGCTTTTTCTGCTGTCTTCTCCAGAACCGCACGGAGATCAAGAATGGCAGCATCCTGTGCCTCAGCACGGCCCCAGTACTGTCCCTCCTGGCCCATCCTCCCCTTCCCTGCCCCTCTGCCCCAGGTCCACAGGCCCCCATCCCAGCCCCACCTCATACCACCTAGTGGACACCCAGGGCTGCACACTTCCAGGTCCCACCCTTACCTTGCCCAGCCTCTTCACTGCTGCTCCTGCTCTGCCCCTGCCAGGATCTTGAGGCTGAGCAGCTGTTGGGTGGGCTGCAGAGTGAGAGTCGTGAAGGGCGCCGGGAAGCCCTGAGGTGCCTCGTCCCCCTGGCCTCGGACATGACCTTTGCCAGGGAGGTCATCAGCCGTAATGGTCTTGAGAGACTAAGCACCATCATTGAGGATGGGGACGAGTGAGCACAGGAATGTGTGGGCTGGGGGAGATGGTGGGGCTTTCTGGTCCTGGTCTGGTCCTGCTCAGCCCCAGATGTCCCCCTCAGTCTAGGGGAGGTGCTGGCCCTCAGCCTGAGGGCCTTCTCGGAGCTCATGGAGCATGGCGTGGTGTCCTGGGAGACGCTGACCATCCCCTTTGTGAGGAAGGTGGGTGAGCTTTCGTAGGACAGCAGGTGGGAGCAGTGGAGCAGTGGGGCAGTGGTAGACCCAGCCTTCCATGGGGGTGAGGTGGTGACACCCCTGCCCCTTACAGGTGGTGTGCTACGTGAACATGAACCTCATGGATGCCTCCGTGCCGCCCCTGGCCCTTGGGCTGCTGGAGAGTGTGACCTTGAGCAGCCCGGCCCTGGGCCAGCTGGTCAAGAGCGAGGTGCCCCTGGATAGGCTACTGGTGCACCTACAGGTGTAAGCCTCTGGGGCTGGGGTCCAGATGTGGGGAGCAGGGCTGGACCCTAAATGTTCTGCTGAGCCCTCTTCTTGCCATAGGATGAACCAGCAGCTGCAAACCAAGGCCATGGCTCTGCTGACAGCCTTGCTGCAGGGGGCCAGCCCTGGAGAACGCAAGGTGAGTGTTGATCGGTGGCTAGATGGAGGCAGCAGGCGGTGGGCACTGCCCACCCTGGGGAGAAATAATCTAAGTCCCCTTTCCATCCCCTCAGCACATGCTTGACTACCTCTGGCAGAAAAACCTTCGCCAGTTCATCTACAAGGTAGGAAGTGGTGGGCCAGGGAGACCACTCCATTCCTCCCCGCCGTGAGTCCTCACTCACACCAGAGACTGGCTCTCCTACAGAACATCATCCACAGTGCAGTACCAATGGGCGATGAGATGGCTCATCACCTGTACGTACTGCAGGCCCTCACGCTGGGGCTGCTGGAGGCACGCATGCGGACACCCCTGGACCCCTACAGCCAGGTATGTCTTTGGTGAGGACAAGGCAGAGGGTGGCTTGGAGCTTGTCCTTGAATCTATAATCATGATCCCCTCCCCGACCACCTGCACTGACCCCAGGAGCAGCGGGAGCAGCTGCAGGTTCTACGCCAGGCTGCCTTTGAGACAGAGGGGGAGTCTTTGGGCGCTGGGTTGAGTGCTGACCGGCGACGTTCCCTCTGTGCCCGAGAGTTCCGCAAGCTAGGCTTCTCTGTGAGTGTCCCCCTACCCAACTCCCCACCCCTGCCTCAGCTCGGGGCTGTTGTTCTAGGGGGCTGGGGCCCTTCTTGAACAGCCTGTGCCCCCTTCACCCAGAACAGCAACCCAGCACAGGACCTGGAACGCGTGCCCCCCGGGCTGCTGGCCCTGGACAACATGTTGTACTTCTCCAGAAATTCGCCTAGCGCGTACAGCCGGGTTGGTGACAGGGTAGGGTAGAGAGTGGCAGCATCCCCCAGGCAGGGTCCCCATGGGCTTAGCCATGACTCCTCACCCCATTCTCTGCCCCCGCCAGTTTGTGTTGGAGAACAGCAGCCGTGAGGACAAGCACGAGTGCCCCTTTGCCCGGGGCAGCATCCAGCTGACGGTGCTGCTGTGTGAACTGCTGCGCGTCGGGGAGCCCTGTGAGTGGCCTGGACAGGGCACAGCGTGGCCAGGAGCAGGGGACGGAAGGGCAGAGAGGGCCAGGGGCTGCATGCACTTTCTCCCTGAGCCCCTCCTGCCCCCCCGCTCCAGGCTCCGAGACAGCCCAAGACTTCTCACCCATGTTCTTTGGCCAAGACCAGAGCTTCCATGAGCTCTTCTGTGTGGGCATCCAGCTGCTGAATAAGACCTGGAAGGAGATGCGGGCTACACAGGAGGACTTCGACAAGGTAGATGGGGTGGGAGCTGGGAGTCCTGGGCCAGGGCAACGGGTTGATCTGGGTACAGAGCTCAGGCCCTGAGCTGAGCTCGGGTGGCCCCAGGTCATGCAGGTGGTGCGGGAGCAGCTGGCCCGAACGCTGGCCCTGAAGCCCACCTCCCTGGAGCTCTTCCGAACCAAGGTGAATGCACTCACTTATGGGGAGGTGCTGCGGCTGCGGCAGTCTGAACGGCTACACCAGGAGGGCACACTGGCTCCCCCTATACTGTGAGTTTGGGGTGATGGATCCCCACTCCTAGCCCCACCTTCCCTGGTGCCCCCTGGGCTACTCTCCAGGTCGGATGTGCTCAGTGACACCCCTCTACCAGGGAGCTGCGGGAGAAGCTGAAGCCAGAGCTCATGGGCCTGATCCGCCAGCAGCGCTTGCTCCGCCTCTGTGAGGGGACACTGTTCCGCAAAATCAGCAGCCGGCGGCGCCAGGGTCTCTGAGTGGGCAAGGGCTGGGAGCGGGTGGTAGGCAGTGGGCAGAGGGCGGCTGGCTTTGGGTCAGGACCTCTCAGTGCTCCAGCCCTCTTCCCTTTCTCCACATAGACAAGCTGTGGTTCTGCTGCCTGTCCCCCAATCACAAAGTGCTGCAGTATGGAGACATGGAGGAGGGCACCAGCCCACCTGCCCTGGAGAGTCTGCCTGAGCAACGTAAGGCAGGCACGGGTGGGAGCCTGACACCTGCTCTCCCCAGACCACCCTGAGCACTGGGGCTGCCTGGGCCACAGTGCTCAGCCCAGCCTTCTTCCTACAGTCCCTGTGGCCGACATGAGGATGCTCCTGACAGGCAAGGACTGCCCCCATGTCCGGGAGAAGGGCTCTGGGAAGCAGAATAAGGTGGGTGCAGCAGGCCAGGGGGCTCCTTCCTGCCTGCCCCTGCCTGCCCTGTCTTCTGCTCAGTGTCCCTCTCCCTTGCTTCCCCAGGACCTCTATGAGTTGGCCTTCTCAGTCAGCTATGACCACGGGGAGGAGGAGGCATACCTCAACTTCATTGCCCCCTCCAAGCGGGAGGTGAGTGTCCACCAGGCTGAGGTTGGCAGGTGGGCAGAGGAGGCAGATGGGCAGGCCCTCACAGCTCTGTATTGCCCCCAGTTCTACCTGTGGACGGATGGGCTGAATGCCCTGCTGGGAAGTCCTATGGGCAGTGAGCAGACACGGCTGGACCTGGAGCAGTTGCTGAGCATGGAGACCAAGCTGCGTCTGTTGGAGCTGGAGAATGTGCCCATCCCCGAGCGGCCACCCCCTGTGCCCCCACCCCCCACCAACTTCAACTTCTGCTATGACTGCAGTATCGCCGAACCTTGACAGTGTGGCTGGCCATGAGCCACAGCTGCAGCCACTGCGGCAGCCATGAAGGGCAGAGGGTAGAGGAGTGACGCACCCTGACCAGCAGGATTGTTGCAGAAATAAAGTCTGCTTGGCTCTTGGGCTATGTTGAGCCAGCTCTGAACCCTGTGGGCTGAGCCTGTGACAGTGACAGTCTTCCCCTTCTGTCTTCAAACTTAGCTGGTGGATAAGATGGGGCATCAGGCCCAGGCCACAAACTTCGACAGTTACGGTTGAGGGGCTGGTGTTCTGAGGGGGTGGGGACAGGCTGGGACCACTGCCTTCCTTCAAGATGAATCCTCAGCTTCCCTCCATGCTGGGCCTGTGGGAAGGGCTGGCCTGTGGTGTGAGGGCACCTGCCAAGGGAGAGCTGGGCTGCCGGCCTGCTGAGTGAGAAGTGGCAGGGCAGGAGGCACTGCCCCAATAGACGTCTTCCTGCACAGCATTAACAGTGGCCTAGTCTGGGAGCCATCTCCAGAAGCCTCCTGACAATCTGACCCCAGTCCTCAAGCTTGCATGGCCCTGCCTGGTGTCCTTTGTAAGACTTGGAGGTCTCTGGTGAGAGGCATGAAGGGAGAGAGGTGAAGCCAGGCCTACTTTCTGCAGAAGGGTGGGGTCAAGATTCCCAAGGGCATCCCCAGGCCAGTGGGAGGATGTGGGCTGATTCTGACAAGAGCTATTTCTGTGCAGGAAGCCCTGCTTCTGATTAAAACCTAACTCAGGGCTGGGCTCGGTGGCTCACGCCTGTAATTCCAGCACTGAGGGAGGCCAAGGCAGGCAGTTCACTTGAGGTCGGGAGTTAGAGACCAGCCTGGCCAACACAGTGAAACCCCGTCACTACTAAAAACACAAAAATTAGCCAGGTATGGTGGCTCACACCTGTAATCCCAGCTAGTTGGGGGGCTGAGGCATGAGAAATGCCTGAATGCGGAGGCTGAGGTTGCACTGAGCTGAGATCCTATCACTGCATTCCAGCCTGGGCAACAGAACAAGACTCCACCTCAAAAAAAAAAAAGACCTATCTCAGAGCCATGGGTGGGCTGGGGGCCACAAACAGGCCAGAGTCCCTGGGGGCAGAAGCAGGTTTGGTCACGGGGGCAGAGGCTGTGGTCACAGACCCCAAGCCCTTGAGGAAAGAAGAGCTCATCAGTCCGTGGAGCTCACAGGGCAGGCTGAAGCCACTGCCCCTCAGACTTCTCCCTACCCCTCACCTCTTCTCTTCCTATTGCCTCTAATATCCATTTTTTGTTTTTGTTTTTTGAGATGGCCCAGGCTGGAGTGCAATGGCACAATCTCGGCTCACTGCAACCTCCACCTCCCAGGTTCAAACCATTCTCCTGCCTCAGCCTCCCAAGTACCTGGGATTACAGGCGTGCACCACCATGCCTGGCTAATTTTTTGTATTTAGTAGAGATGGGGTTTCTCCATGTTGGTCAGGCTGGTCTCTAACTCCTGAGCTTAGGTGATCCACCTGCCTCACCCTTCCAAAGTGCTGGGATTATGGCTCCAATACTGCTTCTAACCATCAACCTGGCTGACTGTGAGAACTGATGAGATGGCACTTCCTTTGGAGAATGTGCCAGAGGGCGCTTGCTCCCCCTCCGTCAGCTAAGCTTCAGCTCTTTGGGCATCCGGGCCCCCCTTGCCCATGCCTAAGGACTTCCCACCATACTTGGAGTGGTCGGCCTTGAGTTCTAGGTAGATATGGGAGGCAGGGATCCCTGATGCTGTCAGCCTCCCTGTAACTGTCAGTTCTTCCTAATGTCTCTAGTCCCTTGTGCATGCTACCTTCAAAGCAACAGCCGCCTGACTTCCAGCTTCCCATCTTGCCCCTCCAACCCTCTTTTTTTTTTTTTTTTGGAGACGGAGTTTCGCTCTTGTTACCCAGGCTGGAGTGCAATGGCGCGATCTCGGCTCACCGCAACCTCCGCCTCCTGGGTTCAAGCAATTCTCCTGCCTCAGCCTCCTGAGTAGCTGGGATTACAGGCACATGCCACCATGCCCAGCTAATTTTTTCTACTTTTAGTAGAGATGGGGTTTCACCATGTTGACCAGGATGGTCTCGATCTCTTTGACCTCGTGATCTACCTGCCTCGGCCTCCCAAAGTGCTGTGATTACAGGCGTGAGCCACCGCACCCGGCCTCCCTCCAACCCTCTTAACACCAGCTATCCCAACTGCTTTCTCCAACATAAATCTTATACAAACATCCCATATATTCCATATGTCCCTATCCGTGTCCATGGGTTAATGGCTACAGTTTCCATGACTAAGCCTGAGTTGAGCCAGATGAGTCGTAGACATGCTGTGGTTTAGCCTTTCCACCTGAGCACCTGTGGCTTGCAGGGTTCTTGGTGCTTGGCCCAAGCTGGCATCCTCCCTGCTTAGAAACACCCCCTCAGTTCCAGCTCTGGCCTGCTCGGGTGTACCCCCACAGTGCCTTCTGTTTTGATCACCCTCTTCCTCCCTTCTCTCCAGTTTGACTGCCTGATTCCTTCCTGGACTCTCCAAACCCAATTTGTTGCTCCTTGGACTCTAGTCCCAGGTGCTTGTCTCTCTTCATACATGGGCTGCACGCTGGACTGTCCCTGCTAGCTGGCTTCTCTGCCTCCCCAGCTGGCCCTGTGCTGGGAGAGCTTTGGCCCCTCTGAATCCCCACATAAAGCACAGTCTCTGCAGGCGCTGGGGGATCCCTGGCTCACTGCTAGAACCAGTGACCAGGGATATGGATGAGGTGTGGGGACATCCAAGCCCTTGAGGAAAGAGGAGCCCATTGGTCCCCAAAGCTGCCATGGAGAAGTCACCAGCACCATTAAGGAGGCTGGATTAGGTGACCTCTAGTGACCCTCTCACTCAGAGATGCTGGCCTCTTTCATTCTTTTCCTCTTATTTCCCCCTCAGGATAGCCGCACTGACTCAAGCATTATTCATCAGTTGTTCCTGGAGTCTGGCTGGGACAAGCACACAGTGTGTGCCTTTACTGCAGGGCACACCCAGGCCTTCGGGGTCTCCTACCATGTGGAGAAGCTGCTAGGACGTGGCTGTGTCAGGCCAGGGTGGGAGCCCCTGTGGGGCTGTGGGCCAAGCCTGAGGAAGGAGCATGCCTGGGATGTTCTTGCCTGCTCCAGGGCCACCTCAGCTGAAGTGGGGAGGAGAGGGGCCCTTTAGTCTGAGAACCTAAGACAAGAAGGTACTATCTGGAATGTTTAATCTTAGGGTTTACACCACAGACCTGAGCTCAGCTGCTGAAGCTCAGTGTACACTGGGGTGGGGCGGGTAAGAGTCCCACAGGAATAGGTGGAGCCAGGCCTTAGGTCTGAGAAGAGGGCAGGCAAGAGACACAGGGTGTGCTCCTCCCAGCACCAGACTCCGCCCGCTGGGGGCCTGGCCAGAGAGCAGGAGCCTGTGGCAGTGACTGTGTGGCTGGAAAGAGGCTGCTGCCAGGCTGTGCAGCAGGAAGTTCCCTGGGCTGCCCTGGATTGGCCCCACCCCCAGTCCTCAATGGAGGCAACCTGGCTCAAGGCCGGGACTGGGGACTTGGGGAGTCAAGGAGGCTGAGCTGCAGGGCTAGTTACTGACCTGGCCTCAGAGTGTTAGGGTCAGGTCAGCCCCTCCCACAAAGCGGGACCGGACACAGGACACCTGGGGCATCTGGGCCTGGAAGCGCCTGACAGCGGCCATGTTGATGCCAGGGCACATGGCCACATCCAACACCCGGAGCTGCCTGCACGCCTGTCCAATGGCATCCAGTGTCCTGTGAGAAGGCCACCAGATGAGTGCCTGGCCCGCCATGGGACCCAGCCCAGCCCCTGCACCATGGCTCCATCTGCCCAGTATCGTTGGACACACTCACTGCTCTGTGAGCTGACTGCAGCTGGACAGGTTGAGGTGCTGCAGCCTTGGCCAGAAGCTGGCTGCCTGGGCCCAGCCCTTGTCACTGAGGCGGATGCAGTGACTCAGTACCAGGCGCTCCAGGCTGGGACAGCCCCTGGCCACAGCCACCAAGCCCTCGTCTGTGAGTGCTGGCAACAGGCTCAGGGACAACTGCTTCAATTGGGGGAACTGGAGCACCTGCGAGGATGGGGGTGGTGAGGGGTAAATCCCACTGGAGCCCAGAGCCTTGGCCCTTCCAGATCCTCCCACCCCAGCCAGGGCATGACCAGAGGCAGCAGAAGCCAATGAAAAAGGAACTCCAAGGTCCACTTTTTTCCAAGCAAAAAGTGGGTTGTCCCAGGACTTCAGCCCTAAGATCCTCAGCCTACTCACACCCCCAGCCCCACACCTTGGCTAAACTGGCATCAGTCAGCTTGCTGCAGGCTGTGAGGTCCAACTCCTGCAGGGCCTGAAGCATGAGCAGGGAGGGGCCCTGTGGCTCGGGATCAGGGTCCTTGGTGCCTGAGGCCTGATGCTCCAGCTCTGCGTGTGGCTGTGGGAAGAAGCCCTTGCTTCTCAGGTTCCTCCTGAGTTTGCCCTTAAATGCTCCTACAGAGAGACTTGGGAAGGGCCGGAGGGCAGCTGAGCCCAGGGGCCAACCCGCCCTCCAAGACCTCAAGGGTCCCGCACCTGGGTCCTGTGCACAGGCTCCCCCAGCCCCAGAAGCCCCCAGTCACAGAGCTCCTTGCACCAAGCCAGGCGCAGGACTGAGAGGTGGGTGAGGTATGTGAAGATGGCCTGCAGGGTCCGGTTGGTGAGGGCCACACAGGAGGACAAGTCTAGCACCCTGAGGCTTGGGCCCAGCGCTGGGATCATGGAGAGCACTGAGGTGTCCTAGGAGGGAGGGAGGGAGGAGACAGGATGGAGCGGCAGCTGGTGCCTATGACACCTGGCCTGGCACTGGTAGCTAGGAAGGGTCTGTCCAAGGTTCCCAAACCACAGGCAGTGGGGAGCTACCAGAGGGTCCCAGGAAGGAATCAACATGGCCCTCATGCTGGTGGTGAAAGGTGGGCATAGATAGGGTAGTAGACAGGGAGTAGCCATGGGGGTTGCCACAGGAAAAAGGCTTGGACTATGGCTGGGGCAGGAAGCATAGAGGTGGCAAGGTCTAGGGTGGCCGCCCTGCCTATGCTCCCAGCCCCTGCCAAAGGAGTGGATGAGGCCGCCTCAGACCACACAGCTCACTGGACCAGCCAGTTGACTCTGCTGAGCCAATCGAGGTGGAGCTGCCAGCTGCCAGGGCAGTTAGGGAAGGGGAGCAGGAGCTGGAGGCTAGTTGGTAGAGGGATGCACAGAGGGGAGCTTCGAAGACACGAGAACATGAGGCCTGGAGGCAGCAGCTGAGACATGCTTGGTGGCAACGGGAAGGAGTGGGGCCGGGAAGAGAGGTGCTTGGAGGGGAACAAGATGGAGGGACGGTTTTATGTTGAGAATGCCCTGGTCAAATGGACAGGTTGAAGAAATAATCCACTAAAGAGGGATGGACTGACACTACCAGGATAGGGATGCCATCCAGAGGGACAGCGCTGAGGCCTGCTGAAGGGCCTGGCCTTGGCCAGGAAATGACTCTGCTGCTCCTGTCGCATCACCCTGCAGGGCCCACTCCAGCGCCTTCCTCAGTGCTCCTTTCCTGCCTTCCTTGCCCATCACCCCCTTTCTTCAGCCCTCCTAGCTCCAGAACACTTGTCCTCAGTACTCCTCCCCAGACACAGCCGTCGCCACGCATATGGCACGTGAGCTGTTGGCTGCTTGGACCTTCTAGGCCCAGAATGGGGGCTCTGGGGAGGTGTGCTGGCAGCAGCAGCAACTGTCTAAGCTCCTGTCCTCCTCCAGATTGGGTCCCAAGTTCATTTCCAACTGCCAATTGTGGACATGAACACTGGGGAGTCCCTTCCTGGTGCCACAGGCTGCCCACTACCCCCACCACCCCGGTTCCCCCTCCCGCCATCCCCAGCCCTGGAGAGGAAGGAAGGGCATGATGGTGCGCTCACCTTCAGCGAAGAGCAGTGGGCCAGGCTCAGGGAGGCCAGCTGTGGTGGAGCCCCATGCACAGAGCCCAGGGCCCGGGCCAGTTCCTGCCCTCTCACCAGGCAGCACTCAGCCATGTCGAGGCTCTGCAGCTCCCGCAGGTCACCCAGAGCTGTACATCCTACATCTGTCAGCCGCTGCAGCTTCCCCAGGCTCAGGCGCCGCAGGTGCCGCAGGCCCCGGCTCACAGCCAAGAGTGCCCCATCAGTCAGTTCTGAGCAGCCGCTGAGGTCCAGGGAGGTAAGGCCTGGTTGCTGGAGGCAGAGGCTGGCCACGGCCTCCGTGGAGAGGTTCCGGCAGCTGTGCAGGCTCAGCTCCTGCAGTTGCAGCCCAGCTACCTGGCCCAGGGCCCGAAGGGCCTTGGGTGGCAAGCCAGTGCCACTCAAGTCCAGGGCATGCAGCCTGCCAGCCCGCTCCTGCACAAATCGCAGCAGGTTGTGGAAGGAGAACTGAGAGGGAGAGAAGTCCTGGGGGCTGATGCAGCCTCGGGATGGGTCTGGCTCGAAGGTGAGGTGGCAGTAGGCCAAGGAGAGGCGCTCCAGGCTGGGGGCACAGCTGCTGAGCCGGTTGAAGCTGAGGTCAGCCAGGTCCCGCAGGCCAGCCAGGTTGAGCTCATGGAGGCCACTCAAGGTCTGCCGGACACTATGTGCTGTCTCAGGCTGAGCCAGCAGTGTGCCCGAGGTGAAGAGGCTATTGCAGCCACTGAGGTCAAGGACACGCAGGGTCGGGCAGCCCAGGATCAGGTCTACAAAGGAGGCCTCCGTGGGGCTCCCCCCACCCAGGGACAAGCTCTGCAGGTGCGGGCCCAGGTGGCAGGCAACATATTGTAGCACCTGGTGTGAAGCTGGAGAGCCATCCAGGTTGGTCAGGCTGATGCAGCAGATGCTCTTGAGGCCCAGGCTCTTGATGGCCGAGAGGGAGGCAGAGGACACGGGGATGTTGTATCGCACGTCTCTCTACAGAGCAACAGCAGGCCTGGGGTAGCCCTCTGGCTTCAGAGGGTGCTGGGCATTGGGTTTGGTGACAAGTCACTGGCTAGAGGTTGGGGGCAGGTCAGGGAAGGGCCCTTCCACAATGGGGACCCACCATGGTGTGTGGTACCATGTGTGGTCAAGTGGGGTGTGGGTAGGAAGTGGGAGCTGGGGTTCAAAGGAGATGACCATCAGGGGACGATGGGAAGGTTAGTAATCGACAGGATGGGATGCCAAGGGAGGGGCAGGGACAGAGTGGGGAGTTGGCATGTTGAGCACAAGAGGGCTGAGATGGGACCTAGAGGAAGCCCAGTGAAGTCCCCAGGGCATGGGAGGGCAAAGCATGCTGGACCCCAACCTTTAGGACTTTGAGGAGGCCCTGAGATCCATGGACTCAGCCTCCTACTCCAGGGATTTGGCATAAGCTAAGCAGCCGGCCTCACCCACTTTCCAGAGAGCATAGCCTTCCGAACAGTAGAAGGCGGGAGAAGTGAGGTAGGTGTCACTCACCACACCCTCTATGGCCCAGGTGCCAGAGATCTGGGGCAGGCAGTTAGGCCTAAGTCCCCTGGTGGTCTCTGAGAGTCTGTCACATGAATGTTTGCAAAAATGGGTTCTGTGTGTAAGAAAAAAATGTGTGCACATGTGTATGTGCATGTGTGTGTGTGTGCATGTGCATGTTTGTGTGTGCATGAACACATGGAGCTGCCTGGTATTGGGCCCTGGATGATCTAGAGTTCAAGATGTGTGATCCCTGCAGCACATGTCCAGAGGGGACATATCTGTCAAGGTAAGGACACTGAAGCCTTCCATTTCTGTGGGTGGGAGCTAACAGGACACACCTCACCCATCCCAAGGAAGTTGAGCTGGCTTTGAGTAGAGGAACAGGGGCATGAGAACGGACAGTGCACAGCTGGAGTCAGGTGGGACCCAAGAGAAAAACTCAAGGCTACATGGTGAGATTAAGTTGGCTTGTGCAGGCATTTAGAAGCTCCGAGCTAAGGAGATATCTTTAAAGAACTTTTCCTGATATTGCACTGGAGTGAGCCAAAGGGAAATCGGTATGTGTGGAACAGATCTTTGGGGAGAGGGGGAAGAGGGCATGGCTTCTAAAATCCTTGCCCCATCTCCCTACCTCTTGTCCAGGTTGCAGGCATGTGGTACTCAAAGAAGCCTCTTGTTTGAATCAACATGCAGGAAAGAAAGCTCCCCTAAACCTGTCTTGTCAGTAACTGCAAAAACAAGCTGCTGTTCCTGTTGGTACCCCACAGATCATCATAAAAAGGGAATCCAAGCCAGGCATAGTGGCGCACACCTGTAATCCCAGCACTTTGGGAGACTCAGGCAGGTAGATCACTTGAGGGCAGGAGTTTGAGACCAGTCTGGCCAACATGGTGAAACCCCATCTCTACTAAAAATGCAGAAATTAGCTGGGTGTGGTGATGCATGCTTGTTATTCCAGCTACTTGGGAGGCTGAGGCAGGAGGATCACTTGAATGTGGGAGGAGGAGGTTGCAGTGATCTGAGATTGCACTGCTACACTCCAGCCTGGGCAACAGAGCAAGACTTCATCTCAAAAACAAAAACAAAAACAAAAACAAAAATGGAATGCAAAAGGTAGAAGGTGACTCACAGGATGTTCTCCTGCAAGATACTTATCAACAGGATTCTCCCAGGAGGCACAGGACTCATTCCCAGGTGTGGAGAGACCAGTCTGGCAGAGATAAGTGGCACCCATGGCTGTCATGATGGGAAGGAGCAGTGTAAGAGAAAGAAACCAGCTCCTGGCCTCTTTCACAGGAACCAGGGGTCAGCCAGGTTCCCCTTCTAGCCCCTACTTCTGGAACATGGTCATTCCAGATGAGAGGGGCACTCACCACAGGTCCAATCGTGGGCAGTGGGTCGGGGGTCTCAGGTGAAAGGGGGGCTGGGAAGATCCCAGTGTGTGAAGGTGGAGAGGGTGATGAAAGACCAGAGAGGAACGGAGGCCATGCCTTCAGCCATTCCCAAGCCCTGTAAGCTAGACAACTCCATTGGATGGAGATGAGAGGAAACTGTGGCTGGGGCAGGTGGGGCAGAGCTGGTTGTGAGGCAGCACCTGCTCCCCCAACTCATATCACTGAGGAACCCCTGAAAGTCTGCAGGCCTCAGCTCTGGTGACACAGCAGCTTCAGGGGCTCAGCCTGACTTCTTTCCTTCCCTTCATTCTGGAGCCTGGCTGGCCAGGAAGGGTCTCTTCTCTGCCACTGCCTCCCTATGAACCAGGTCAACAAAAGACCAAGAGAAGACTCTGGCAGTGTCCCCAGTGCTCAAGTCCAGGGCTGGCTCTTGGTAGCAAAGCCACCTGATAAAGAAGCAGGCCTGGCTTAAAGGACTTCCAGCTCTGGGAGTACAGAAGAGGCTTGAGACCATGTTCAGGTGGGATGGGGGCAGCCTCTAAGCCACCTCCCAGGTGGTCTACCCTGCTCCTGAGGTTACCTGGACTTAAAACTGCAGGAGTTGGCTGGGCACAGTGGCTCACACCTATAATCCCAGCACTTTGGGAGGCTGAGGCAGGCAGATCATGAGGTCAGGAGTTCGAGACCATCCTGACCAATTGGTGAAACTCCATCTCTACTAAAAATACAAAAAAACCCACCTGGGCATGGTGGCAGGCACCTGTAATCCCAGCTACTCTGGAGGCTAAGGCAGGAGAATCTCTTGAACCTAAGAGGAGGAGGTTGCAGTAAGCCAAGATCGCACCATGGTACTGCACTCCAGCCTGGGCAACAGAGTGAGACTCTGTCTCAAAAGAAAAAAAAAAAAAAGAGTAATCACGAAATCATTTGGGAAATACCCGGAACCCGCTACAAGTGATGCATGTACCTTGACTGTGGGAGGCCAGGGTTTTGTTGTACCTAGTGAGTACCTAGTGTTGTACCTGAACTGAGACTGCAAGCCTGTGTACACACTTGGAAAGCCACGTGACAGAGAAAATGGCCCTCCGCCCTGCCTGGTACAGGACTTCAAAACTACCATGCCTGTTCTCCAGGAGGCCATTGGGAAAATGTATGCCCTGGCACCTGGGGCATTGGTCTCTAGAGAGGAGTTAAACTGGTGGGTCATTTAGAGGCTGCTCCAGGACTTCATAAGTCCCTCAGGCATGGAGGAGGGAAAGAGCTGTCTTCAGCTATTGCTTCACAGGGACCAACCAGCAGCAGGCAACCAGGGCTCCCCACAAGAACGGGCATAGCTGGTGCATGTGGGGGCTCTGCCTTTGCCAGCATCCTTATTTGAGAAAGTTGGGATTAAGGGAACAGGAAGGACCGGTCAGAGAGAGTAAGTCACCAAGACCAGCATCCTAGCCCAGTTTGGTGAGACACCGGCTCCAGCTTGGCCTTGGTAAGCCAGTGTCTTCCACAGCACCTAACTGGCACCTAACTGGTACTGCCTCAGTTCCATGCCCGTGCCTGAGCCCTGGGAGATGGTTCTTGACTGCAGGGTCCCGCAGATGCTCTCTGGCACGTGGTGGTGATGCCAGGTACCTGTGCTCCCAGCCCAGGCGGGGCTGAGTTCTGCAGAGGCACCAAATGGGTCTTTGTCAACATTCCTTTCTTCTTTTTCTTGTTTTTGGTTATCCCAAGGCTCTTTTATCTGTCTCTGTCAACATTCTATCTGGAGCACACGGTTAGTCGGAGCAGCTCCAGCTCTAAAACACTGACTCTGGCTTCCTTCTCCTTCCTCCAGCCCTCACCCCTACTCCAATCCTATCTGTGCCCCAGGGCTTGGCTGCCCCCTCGGCCTCCTCTGACTGCCCCATCTTTGCTGGGCTCCATGAGGCTTTGCCCTGTAACAACCTCTCCTCAAGAGTCCTTGGTGCCCTTGCCTCAGTCGTGCTGCTATGCCCATTCTCCTGGCCCAGCCAGAGCTGGTGAGACCAACTGCCTCCTCTGAGTCTGTACCAGGGATACAGAACTCTACCCAGGAAGTCATGGCCTCCCTGTTCCCTTCCCACCCCCCACAATATTTCCCTCCATGCCCCCTACCTCCCCAGCTCTTGGCCCTACTGATATACCCTCCCTCATCCAGGATTCTCAGAGAAGACCATCAAGTGGAAAGTCCCTCCCTTTCCTCCGTTCATGTTCACTAGCTACCTCCAGGCAGGGCCCATCCATCTGAACCTTCCTCCTTCTCCTGCTCTTTTGCTTCCAGCAGACCCCTTCTCCTGGCCTCCTTCTCCTCCGAGAACCCTGCTGTTTATGCCTTTCCACTGCTCCTTCTTCAGAGGCCACAAATATCCCAGAGTGTTAAACTGCAAGTAAAAGCCTCCCTATATCCTGTACTCCCCCTCTTGCCTCTCTTCTCTCTCTCCTCCCTCTACAGCCATGCTTCTTGGAAGCACACAGGCACAGGCATGCCTGCTGTCCAGCCACTCTGTACCCGTCACCCCTCCATGCTGGCCCCCACAGGATCACACATTCCTGGCAATGGCTCCCCTCCAGCAAGGTCACCAACATATGGGGGCTTTGCCTCAGACCTCCCACAAAGGTTCTCTCTGCCATGCCACCTGCTCTGCATGGCCAGCAGCCACTCCCCTTGATGCCATTTTCCACTGGGGTTCTACAACTCTGCCCTCCTGGCTTTCCTCCTACCTTCTAGCCTGCTCCCCATCAGGCTCTTTTGGGGTGAAGAAAGAAAAGAGATCCAGTCCATAGATGAGGAGGTTCCCCATGGTTTGTTCCACCCAACAACACACACACACACACACAATCTTTGCACCCCCTCCAAGTGTACCCTGGCCAACTGCATTTTGCCCCATGGGGCCATCATTCCAACTACTGTCTTTCTGATCCACATCATTGTCCTGAACACTCAGACCCTGGGAGTCAAGTGCCTGATTGACCTCTCTCCAGAGAACACGATGTGACACTCTAAATCTGAATTCATTATCTTATCCTACAACTCTGCTCCTTCTAGACTCTTCCCACCTTCTACTAAGCCACCCAAGTGGGAAATCTGGGAGTGATCCTAGAATCATCCCTCACTCCCCACATCCACAACGACCCAAGTTCCTTCCGCTCTGTTTCCCTGATACAGTGAAACCTGTCCCTGTGCTCCAACCTCACTGCTTCTGCCCTAGCTGAGGTCTCCTTACTGTATGCCAGTAGCCTTACAGCTGCTTCCCCAAGCTCAGATGACAGCAGCTTCCTCCTTATCAGGTCCTCGCCTCCAGTTTCTCTGGCATCAGTTTCTCTTGGGTTTTGTCACCGGCTGATCCTTCCAAAAGGTGATTCTGCCTGTGCTCTCCAGACCCTCTGCCAGTTCTGCATGCCTCTGGGACACAGGCTAAGCTTCCTAGGCTGGCATTCAAGCCCTTCTAGGACCCAGGCCTGCTTCTTCAGCCAAGCCCTTCCCATGCCTGTTCCCCTTCCTCCCAGCCCTGGCTCTGGGGCTGCCACTTCTGATCATTTTCCTGCGACCACACACCTCTGCTCAGCTGCATTTTTCTGTTCTAGGGGTTCCCACCCCTTACCTGCTACTACTGGTCTATTTGGCAAATGTTTATTCCTCTCTCGAGTCTCAGGCCAAACATCTCCTTCTCCATGGGGTCTTTTCTGACTTTTTCTCTGCATCCCTGATGCACCTCACACAGACTTGCAATGCAGTACCCTAGCCTCTTTTGGCTTATCTGTGCTCACCACACACTCCCAAGTTCTGTGTCTTTCTCACTTCTGCCTCCCCAGTGCCCAGCACAGTGCCTGGCACAACAGAAACATTTGAGTAAGGCTGCCCACAGCCTCTCTATATGTCTCTAGTAATTTTCTGTCTTCCTTCTGTCCTGCGACTGCTTCTTTTCTTTTCTTTTCTTTTTTTGAGATATTTTGAGAATTTTGTTCTTTTTTTGAGAATTTTGTTCTTGTTGCCCAGGCTGGAGGGCAATAGCATGATCTCGGCTCACTGCAACCTCTATTTCCCAGGTTCAAGCGATTCTCCTGCCTCAGCTTCCAGAGTAGCTGGAACTACAGTCGCCTGCCACCATACCCAGCTAATTTTTGTATTTTAGTAGAGATGGGGTTTCACTAATGTTGCCCAGGCTGGTCTTGAACTCTTGACCTCGTGATCTGCCTGCCCTGGCCTCCCAAAGTGCTGAGATTACAGGCATGAGCCACTGCACCCGGCCTCTGTGACTGTTTCAACCTTCTCTGCTGAAGACCTAGCCTCTATGTCTCTTTTCATTCTCCTGGCCTCCAAATCCACCGAACAAAGGCGCTGTTGAGGAAGGAGATGCCTCTGGGGAATTTCTCTGCAAATAGCTCCATGTTTCCACCCTCACCTCTCTGCTTCCTCAGGAAGAGGTGACAACCTTTTTTTTTTTTTTTTAACCAAACCGATGTGGAAAAACAAAAAAGAAAAACACAAAACACACACACACACAAAAGGAAGAGGCGATATCCTCTCCATCCTATCCCAGATGAGGCTTGCTATGTGGCAGCCTATCTCTACCACCACCTGAGGTGGCATCTTCCATGCCTGACCTCTCTCCTCCCCCAACCTTCATCCCTCCTCTAGTGACTCTCTGAAGAATTAATCATTTACTATTTTTTATTTTTTTTTTTTTGAGATGGAGTCTCACTCTGCCACCCAGGCTGGAGTGCAGTGGCTCGATCTCAGCTCACTGCAACCTCCACCTCATGGGTTCAAGTGGTTCTTCTGCCTCAGCCTCCCAAGTAGCTGGGATTACAGGCATGTGCCTCCACATCTGGCTAATTTTTGTATTTTTAGCAGAGATGGGGTTTCACCATGTTGGCCAGGCTGGTCTTGAACTCCTGATCTCAAGTGATCCACCCACCTCAGCCTCCCAAAGTGCTGGGATGCTGGGATCACAGGCGTGAGCCACCATGCCCGGCCTATTTATTTATTTACTTTTTTTTTTTTTTGAGATGGAGTTTTGCTCCTGTTGCCCACGCTGGAGTGCAATGGTGCAATCTTGGCTTACTACAACCTTCGCCTCCCAGGTTCAAGCAATTCTCCTGCCTCAGCCTCCTGAGTAGCTGGGATTAGAAGCGCCTACCACCACACCCAGCTACTTTGGTATTTTTAGTATACATAGGGTTTCTCCATGTTGGTCAGGCTGGTCTCAAACTCCCGACCTCAGATGATCTGCCCGCTTCGGCCTCCCAAAGTTCTAGGATTATAGGTGTGACCCATTATGCCTGGCCTGGCCTACTTATTTCCTTCTTTCCATGGAGAAATTTCTTTTTTTTTCTTTTTTCTTTTTTTTACAGACAGGGGTTTCACCATGTTGATCAGGCTGGTCTTGAACTCTTGACCTCAGGTGATCCGCCCGCCTTGGCATCCAAAGTGCTTGGATTACAGGCGTGAGCCACCATGCCCGGCCTCCATGGAGAAATTTCTTGCCAGTGAGGTCTTGCTCTACACTTCCTACTTTTCTCATTCACTCCTCAATCCACCTGGCTTTTTTTCCCAGATGTCAAATATTGCTAAAGCCATTAGGCCTCCTTGGATAGTATATCTTATGGATATTATTTGTTCTTCA